CCTGTGGTCAAACGTGTTGTTGGCTGCGTGTAGGCTGGTCAGTGGGGTCGCCGGTGACCATGGTAGCATGGACACCAATGCCTTCTGTGTTTTGTTCCAGGCCTTCAGCATTGTTTTGGTGGTGGGTAGTATGTGAGGTTGGGTTGGGCGCATCTTTTTAGGTACCCACACTAGTTTCCGAAGGTCTGCCCCTTGTAACCAGTGATCTTCAATTTCTAGCCATTGGGGGGTTATGTTGTAAGTGACCCCTTACTTACTTAATGGGACCTTGTAAGATTTAGAAAGTAAAATGAATTACTTAGTCTTCTCTGTCACTAGTGTCTGTGTTTAAAATTATTTCTATTCCAGTAACATTTAAACATAGCATTCCATCCCCCTGTTTCATTGCTTATCACTTGGCTTGTTTACATAATGCATTCCTTAGCTCAGGCTCAGTGGCTAGTTACAGAAAGGAAAGACATTTTGTGTCTGTCTTGCCTGAAGATAGCAAAATGGAGTCCGCTTTGTTCTGAGTGACTCTGGCAATATACACTTTTAATTTCTATCTTAGCACAAAATGTCTGCCGATATAAATATCCTGACAAAACTAGTGCTCAAGTACACTTTTGAGACCAGATGTGACATACACTTCTATTTATAGACAAGTTATCATAATAGTGCTAGTTAGTGTTAGTCTGTGTTGTTCCAGGAAGTCTAACCTAAGATAAAGATTAGGCATGAGCAGGGCCGGCCTTAGGCAATTAGGCGTCCTGTGCAAAAAGTCTTCACGGCGCCCCCCCCACCTCCCACCAAGTTGCCTGAATACAGTAACACACACAGGCACCGGGGACGTGTGTATCACGAGGCAAACAAGGCATCTGCCTTGGGCGCCACTTTGCAGGGGGCGGCAAAAAAAAGCATCCCTCCAAACCCCCAGGCAGATCCCTTGCTTGCCTCGCATCCTGGGGGGCTCAAGAGCTGACCGGCTGGCCACTTTTGAGCCCCCCCAAGGCTGGCAGCGGGCAGCGAAGGAGCATACTCACCTGAGCTCTTCCTGCTCAGCTTCCTCTGCGCCGCTTAATGAAGCCGGGAGCCAGAATATGATGTCAGTCCGGCTCACGGCATCACTAAGCGCTGCTTACTCAGCCTGTGCACCCCCTGCCTGCCTGCCCAGCAGCCACACTGGACTGCTGGTAAGAAATCCACTCCAGCTTTCCCAGGGAGGCTGGGTGGATTTAAAATAAATGTAAAAAATATTAGTTTGTGAGTGTTAGTGGAAATGTCTGTGTGTGTGTCTGTGAGTGTTTATTTTGAAGTGAATGTGTGTGTGTGTGTGTGTGTGTGTGTCTGTAAGTGTGTAATTGTGTGTGTCTGTAAGTGTGTAATGTGTGTGTGTCTGTGAGTGAATGTGTGTGTTGGTCAGTGAGTGTATATGTGTCAGTCAGTGAGTGTGTATGTGTCAGTCAGTGAGTGTGTATGTGTCGTCAGTGAGTGTGTATGTGTCGTCAGTGAGTGTGTGTGTGTCAGTGAGTGTGTAAGTCAGTGAGTGTGTAAGTCAGTGAGTGTGTAAGTCAGTGAGTGTGTAGTCGGTCAGTGATGTGTCGGTCAGTGAGTGTGTGTCGGTCAGTGAGTGTGTGTCAGTCAGTGTGTATGTGTCGGTCAGTGGAGTCGTGCATCTTTCAGTGAGTGCTTGCGTCTGTCAGTGAGAGTGTGCATCTGTCAGTGTGTGTCCAAGTAATAGTGTATGTGTGTATGTCATTGTTTGTCAGTGTATATATGAGAGTGTGTGTCTGTCAGTGAGTGTGCGTCTGTCAGTGAGTGAGCGTCTGTCAGTCAAAGTGCGGCCTTGACAGGAAGGGGTGGGGGAAATTTAAACTCGGTTACAGGCATGTACACACACACTCAGTTAAAGGCAGTCACACATACAGGCACAGGCACAAACAATGGCACAGCTACAGCGACACACACAGACAGACAGTCACATAGGCAGTCACACACACAGACAGACACACAGTAACACACACATAGACAGTTATACACACACAGGCAGGCAGTCACACAGATAGAAAGTCACACACACAGGCAGGCAGTCACACACAGACAGATAGTTACAGACAGACACACACAGGCAGGCAGTCACATACAGGCAGTCACACACACAGGCAGTCACACACACAGACAGACAGTCACACACACAGACAGTCACACACACAGGCAGTCACACACAGAGACAGTCACACACAGAGACAGTCACACACACACACAGAGACAGACAGTCACACACACACACACACACACAAGGACAGGCAGTCACACAGACAGTCACACAGACAGTCACACACACACAGGCAGACAGACAGTCACACACACAGTCACACAGACAGTCACACACACACACAGACAGTCACACAAACAGGCAAACAGTCACACACACACACTTACCTCTTTCCAGTGGATGCAGTTGGCTGATGGGGAAGCATCTTTCCCTCTTCCTGTACAGCAGGGGCTTCGGGAGGTATTAGCCCCGTCTCCGCCTCTCGATAAGCCCCGCCTCCGCCGCTCGGTAAACCCCGCCCCCTCTGCCGCGATTTTTTTTTTTTTTTTTAAATAGACCCGGGTGGAGAATAATTAATCCTCCAGCCAGGTACCTCTTTTAGCTCCCCTGCACTCCGGCCATGAGTGAGCTGTGTCGGCCACAGGGCGCCCCCTGTTCCATGGCGCCCTGTGCGGTCGCACAGCTCGCACACCCCTAAGGCCGGCCCTGGGCATGAGCGACTTTACTATTCCAGATATTGTTTGGTAATAATTTATTTATTTGTCCATTATTCTTTGTATTGATGGGAATTAAAGATAGAGGTAGGTGTGACTGTTTTCAGTCCTTTTTAAACTGGACCACATACAAGAAGACTCAATACCCAAGGATAACATTATGCCTACATTTTTTCCAACTGTACATGCCTTTACTACCCCCTATGTTGTCCAATGCACAGAATAAGTGCTACTACATACACCCTGGAAAACACTATACCTAAATCTAGGAAATTATTATTCGTCCATTTATCAATTCTTCTGCTCGCATAATCTCCAGTTTACATGGTCCCAGTTATCCACGTTGGAGAATAAGTCTTTGTCGCCTCTGTCTTGGTCTTGTCTTTGCCTGTAGGAGAGTGGAGATTTACAGTTAGGTCCGGAAATATTTGGAGACTGACACAGGTTTTGATATGACTGCTTACCAAAATTAATTCAAGTTACAGTTAAATAATGAATACAGCTCTTTAATATGTAGCCCTCTCTTTTTCAAGGGACCAAAAGTAATTGGACAACAGACTCAAAATCTGTTTAATGGACAGGTGTGGGCTATTCCTTCATTATTTCATCATCAATTACACAGGAAAAAGGTCTGGAGTTGATCCCAGGTGGGGCGTGTGCATTTTGAAGCCATTGCAGTGAACCCACAACATGCAGTTAAAGGAGCTCTTAATGCATGTGAAACAGACCATCCTTAGGCTGCAAAAACAAAACCCATGAGAGAGATAGCAGGAACATTAGGAGTGGCCAAATCAACAGTTTGGTACATTCTAAAAGAAAAAAAGAGCACACTGGTGAGCTCTGCAGCTTACCACATCATCAGTTAAACACGGTGGAGGCAGTGTGATGGCATGGGCATGCATGGCTTCCGATGGAACTGGGTCACTAGTGTTTATTGATGATGTGACAGAAGGCAGAAGCTGCCGGATAAATTCTGAAGTGTATAGGGATATGTTGTCTGCTCAGATTCAGCCAAACTCAGCAAAGTTGATTAGACAGCATTTCACTTAACAGATGGACAATGAACCAAAACATACGGCAAAAGCAACTCAGGAGTATTTTAAGACAAAGAAGTGCAATATTCTGCAATGGCAGAGTCAATCACCTGAACTCAACCTATTTGAGTGTTTCACTTGCTGAAGACAAAACATAAGGCAGAAAGACCCGCAAACAAACAACTGAAGACAGAAGTAGTAAAGGCCACAAAGGAGGAAACCCAGCGTTTGGTGATGTCCATACGTTCCAGACTTCAAGCAGTTGTTGTTTGCAAAGAATTCATGGCAAAGTATTAAAAATTAAATTTGAGCCCCTGATATATTGGACTGTGTATGAAAATGGTTGCAATTCCTAAATGTTTTATACAATGTTTTTGTTCAACCCCTTAAAGCTGAAAGTCTGCACTTCAGTTGCATCTCAGTTGTTTAATTTAAAATCCATTGTGGTGGCGTACAGCATAATTATGAAAATTATGTCAATTCCAAATATTTCCAGACCTAACTGTGTAATCACTTCAGCCGATAAAAATGTAATTGCTTACATTTTTCTTTACACTGGTTATGTTTAATCTACAACATCAAATTTAAACATCTAATTCTTTAAACATCAACCAATTTTCGAATATATCAGTAGTAGTAGTTTAAAATATGTATTGTTCAACAGTATAAATTAAATAAATACATATTATAAATACGCATTATAAATACACAATAGGTGACTTCACAAGACAACATATATTGTTATAATAGAGTAACAATTGTCCTGACGAAAGCCCAGACTGAGGCTGAGACGCTGATGCTGTAAATTAACCAAATTATTCTAATAAATCGTGATTTAAAGCAAGATCATTGAGTGCTCTCTTTCGAGGTAATATATATATATTATTCAGTGTCGCAAGTTGCTATTTTATAAATTGGCATAAATTACACAATAAAATATTTTAATGATCATTTACAAAAAAATATTTTCTATTAACTCCAGTTACTAGGCATCCGTTTGATTACAGCATCTGCTAAGTAAGGCAGTTTCTCTTGCAAATGTTGAATTCTGCCCTCAAGCTGACAGCAAGCACATCGAGTTCAGACTGCACACAGTTAATAACATGGAAAGAGCCATCAGGACAATAACATTAGGATGAGCCTATGGAAAGGGCTTTTATGTTGACAGGGCAAGCCAAAGCTAACCAGTCACAGTCTAGTTTACATCCAGCATTGCATACTAGCTCATTCTATGAGCACTTGTATTGGGTTCATTAGCTTAGTAGAAAGAAAAATCAGTGCATGTGAATACATTTTATTTTTCATCTGTAATCTGCCAACAGCATGATTGGTCTACTTAGATTTTTTCTTTTGCATTTGACATAATCTATATTTTCTGTAGTTATTCCAGGCAAGCGATATAAAGCATCTGTATAACACAGCTGGCAGCTGGATATATTTTCACACATAACTTTACATTTTGCAATCATGAATGTGGGTAATTATGCATCACAGGGTTAAGGTAGACATTTGGAGATGTAATAGTTGAAATATATTTTTATTTCCAAAGGATGCCCAAGAACAATTTTAAGCAGGAATATCATATTTTATTTTTCAAGAATTGGATCGTATGTTTGCAGTCATTCAAGCAATAATATTTAAGGTAAGTGTATTGGAATAAAATGTTTTTTTTGTTTTTACTGAATCTATCTGAAATGTCAATATCAGTTAGAAAATCAGGTATCTGTGTTGGAGGCATGATATTCTCTCTCCGTGGTGCTGAAATAAACCTGTGCATTCTTTGATCATTATGCTTTTCAAGCTAGAAATGTCCTATATTCAAACACGCACAATTAACATTGTAATATTTTTATTACTTCTGCCTAATGCACACCTATATATATATATATATATATAGGTGTGCATTAGGCAGAAGTAATAAATATATATATATATATATATATATATATATATATATCATGCAGTGACGAAACATTATGTTATATTGAAATTATGTCTAATATTTATTATAAAATACAGTAAATGTTTGCATACATTTATTTCATTGTCTTTGAAGAATGAAAAATAATTATATATCTGTCACTGTTTTAAAGAAAAATAGTTTAAATGATCTCTGGATTTAAGTTTTTTTTTGGGGGGGGGGGTAGAGAGGGGGTACTATTAATTGTTTTCCATTAAATTTATCATTTTAATGCTAAACACTCAACATATGTCTCCAATATAATTTAAAAAAAAATAAGAATAGTAATGATAACTAAAAGTACATTAGATTGTGGCCTTTAATATCTTACAGATGGATTCTTTGCTGGAATCCAGATACTATTTTTGCATTTGATAAGCAGTAAACACTTGCTATGCATGACTATTGATCCAGAAATGCAATATGTGGTAATTACATGACTCTGGGGAGATATAGTCCATAGTGAATCCAGTAAATCACAATTATTCCTTTTCCTTCAATCAATATAGTCTCTGGCTAAGGTTGATCATGATGAATCAGATGTGTTTTTGGACCAATAAACTGCTTGTATTTTTTCTCCTCATCAATTAGAATGCTCCCTGTGTCAATAAACTGGCTGTATATTTCTCCAAATAAACCCCCCTTTCTATACATAACGGACTGTCATTATAGTGTCCATAGCTAGTAAATTGTATAACATTGCTTACTTTGCTGAAAAGAACATTTTGTGCTGAAACCTGCAGTTGCCTACTCCCGGCGAATGGCTTTGGGTAAATTATTTAGTTCTCCAATAGCATTTATATTGAAAACACTTATATTTATGGAAGAGGCAAAAGTAACTTCACTGAGATCTTTCTTCTACAAATTCCATTTCACAGACTGCCCTCAATTCATCAAATATCATTTCTAATTATCCAGTTGACTATATAATGCCTATTATACAATATCAGCCAATAAAGGATGCTTTGTTCCTATGTGGGGTAAATAACTTGTATTGGGCTAGTTAGTCGTATCACACTCTATCTTCAGACAGATCCTTACCATCCTAGCATGCTCAATTTGTCAGATGTGTTTTCTACACTGCAGACTGGATGCTGAAACACACACCAAATGAGGTTCATTATGCTTAGGCATATCAGTGAATTGGATTGTTGATGGTCATTGTACTGTTAATGAGTTCCTTTGCTTTTAATCTATGTGTGAGGTTTAGCAAGAATAAGAATCATTGATGTGGGCTTTTATCTTTTTTTTTTCTAAATGACTCTGCAGCACAGAGTATGGAGGAAATATTGTTGCCTAGAATAGAGCACAAGAGACTGATAACTATGCTGTTTTATCTCTATGGTGAGCAAGGTTTTTGGGACGTGCATGATACACAGAATGTTAGGCTATGGTACAGCTTCTCAATGTATCTACCATGCTTCTGTTGTCTCTTAATTACCACGATACTTGATCCTACTGTATCTGGTTATGTGTCACCAGCATCTTAAATATATGTATAATATCAGTCTTTGAATTGCATGTGCCAAATAGATATCGCACTGTTTAAGAGTGCATTGTAATAACAGAAAAGAGCTCATATTTTGTCAGGGTTAACGGATTTCATTGCAGAAAATAATTCATAGGTCAATTGAGTAAACTGGGGACCTGCATCTGTAATTCTCATTATCCTAAACCAGTACTGCGTGGTCAAATGATAGTGGTGGTAATGTCATACCAACAAAAACTAGAGTGTTATAGGCCTATTGCTGTATTTACCAGTGGGAATGCTCGATTTCCACCATCTTATGATACTGGTTGCTTGTTGATTGTATAATTTCTTTGTGAATTTGCTGTTAATATGTTCTTTGGCTTGCATGGACCTTTATTTCATGTTTTCCAGGGCCATTCATGTAGCTGCAGAGGGAGCAGCTTTTTAAAAAATTGCTTTGCTTGTACTGTAAGAATGAATTAAAATCCATAATGATGCTCGTATAAAGTAGAAATAGAAACAGGGCCAGCCCTAGATTTTTTTTGGTTGGCTAGTGCCAAGGGCAAAATGGTGAGCCAACAATTAATGCACTGCCAGGCACTCTAAGATGTCATAATTGTCTCCTGTACTTCCCAAGCTGTATATCTATGTGTGGGGCAGACAGTCTTTAATGTACTCATAGACTCTGGGGCTAGTTATACTGCCAAGAAAATACAGAGATACAAGGGATGGCATGCTGTATTAAACATACAATAAAATGCTGCCCCTTCTAGGGGCCACCAACGACTTGAACCTGCCAAGACCCGTGATAGGAAGGACCATTTATAAATAGTTTAATGCTAATTTCTTGTACTTGCATATTCATCAGCCTTGCATACATCAGAAACATGAGTCAGATCAAGTAAACTAATATAGGAAAAATTCAATCTTGGTAATATCATTGATTGGGTTCAACTTGTGTATAAATACTCTGGAGTGCGTTTAATCTTCACAGTATAGCAGCCCTAAGAGTAATTAATATGGCTAATTTAAAGCAGAAACCATCAATTAGCATATCAAATTTTAACATGGCTTATTAATTATCTTGCTCATGTCGACTGAATAACCTGTAAGGATGTAGTAAGAGCAAAAATAGAGAATGTTACCACAGATCAAAAAGATGCTAGACTGTACTATAGTGACATGAGAACTGGTTTGATCTCCTCAGTGTATTCAAGACAGGTATGTATAATTCTCATACTCCCTCAACCACGTTCTATCTCCTGCCTGCCTTTCACATTTTCTTTAATGCTACATTCATATAAACACATAGTGAGAGGCAAGTGAAGGAAAGGGGTGCATAACCAGTTTCAGGCATTTAATCCTCCTCCATGTCACTCCATGTCTTATATTTGTACACCTGAAAATATACATGTATTCATATAAAGATGATCTTAGAGTATTCCTGAGCACAGTCACATGAACTGAGAAATGTAAACATTATTTTTGATTCTTGAAATTTGATTACTCTCATTACTACTTCTGGTATACAATCATGTATAACCCATACGTAGTTATTTACAGTGACTTTCAAACTTGTTATTTTAGACCATGAGCACTGTACGAGTAGACTCTTCATAAAAATAACTAAAGGGTCGTTTTATTCCGGTTTTAGTATACAGGGAGTGCAGAATTATTAGGCAAATGAGTATTTTGACCACATCATCCCCTTTATGCATGTTGTCTTACTCCAAGCTGTATAGGCTCGAAAGCCTACTACCAATTAAGCATATTAGGTGATGTGCATCTCTGTAATGAGAAGGGGTGTGGTCTAATGACAACACCCTATATCAGGTGTGCATAATTATTAGGCAACTTCCTTTCCTTTGGCAAAATGGGTCAAAAGAAGGACTTGACAGGCTCAGAAAAGTCAAAAATAGTGAGATATCTTGCAGAGGGATGCAGCACTCTTAAAATTGCAAAGCTTCTGAAGCGTGATCATCGAACAATCAAGCGTTTCATTCAAAATAGTCAACAGGGTCGCAAGAAGCGTGTGGAAAAACCAAGGCGCAAAATAACTGCCCATGAACTGAGAAAAGTCAAGCGTGCAGCTGCCACGATGCCACTTGCCACCAGTTTGGCCATATTTCAGAGCTGCAACATCACTGGAGTGCCCAAAAGCACAAGGTGTGCAATACTCAGAGACATGGCCAAGGTAAGAAAGGCTGAAAGACGACCACCACTGAACAAGACACACAAGCTGAAACGTCAAGACTGGGCCAAGAAATATCTCAAGACTGATTTTTCTAAGGTTTTATGGACTGATGAAATGAGAGTGAGTCTTGATGGGCCAGATGGATGGGCCCGTGGCTGGATTGGTAAAGGGCAGAGAGCTCCAGTCCGACTCAGACGCCAGCAAGGTGGAGGTGGAGTACTGGTTTGGGCTGGTATCATCAAAGATGAGCTTGTGGGGCCTTTTCGGGTTGAGGATGGAGTCAAGCTCAACTCCCAGTCCTACTGCCAGTTCCTGGAAGACACCTTCTTCAAGCAGTGGTACAGGAAGAAGTCTGCATCCTTCAAGAAAAACATGATTTTCATGCAGGACAATGCTCCATCACACGCGTCCAAGTACTCCACAGCGTGGCTGGCAAGAAAGGGTATAAAAGAAGAAAATCTAATGACATGGCCTCCTTGTTCACCTGATCTGAACCCCATTGAGAACCTGTGGTCCATCATCAAATGTGAGATTTACAAGGAGGGAAAACAGTACACCTCTCTGAACAGTGTCTGGGAGGCTGTGGTTGCTGCTGCACGCAATGTTGATGGTGAACAGATCAAAACACTGACAGAATCCATGGATGGCAGGCTTTTGAGTGTCCTTGCAAAGAAAGGTGGCTATATTGGTCACTGATTTGTTTTTGTTTTGTTTTTGAATGTCAGAAATGTATATCTGTGAATGTTGAGATGTTATATTGGTTTCACTGGTAATAATAAATAATTGAAATGGGTATATATTTGTTTTTTGTTAAGTTGCCTAATAATTATGCACAGTAATAGTCACCTGCACACACAGATATCCCCCTAACATAGCTATAACTAAAAACAAACTAAAAACTACTTCCAAAAATATTCAGCTTTGATATTAATGAGTTTTTTGGGTTCATTGAGAACATGGTTGTTGTTCAATAATAAAATTAATCCTCAAAAATACAACTTGCCTAATAATTCTGCACTCCCTGTACATGTTTCCTACTATGTTTATACAAGCATGAAAATGTACAAATGATGTACTCTTATACTTTTACACTCACTAAAGAATCTGTATTTTACTAGTTGACATGATATCTCTTTGAACACAAAATAAACAATACATGGAGATCTACCTCTTTCAATAGGCTTCTATGTGCAACAGTTTTATGTTAGATCTTTTTCCATCTCAAGGTTCAGGGGAGTTATGGCAAACAAAACATGTTGCAGCTGATGACTAACTAACTCTTTATTAAGAACTCTATTTTTGTATGTCTTTGCTGGCTCTTACTATTCTGCTTTTCTGGCACCTGTATCCTTTCTCTATGAACACTGCTCAAAGCCTTGAGCATTTTTGACATTCCAGAGAAACCACTGGCTAGTGAAAGATGCCATAGCTATTAATACGATTTTTACTTAACGGTGATATACAAAAATAATCCTTCAAATAATTTTGCCTTCGAGTAATAGTCAGGATTATGTACTAAAGAGAGAATTGTTTAAAATTCAAAGTGTATTTCTAATTTATGTCCAAAATAGCCCTACAGAAAAGATTTGCCAAGTCAGTATGCTTCCAGTTTGGCTACTTATCCTTAAATGAAACCATGTCCCTCCTATAGCCATGATTGAGTTCAAGTTTACCAAGCAACGTGCGAGAGACACATTACGTGTCCTACTGGATTACATACACTTGGGAGAAAATGCCTCTAGATCAAACAGGAGGCGGAGGTATATTTTGGGTAGCCTGAAATGAAAACCTAATGAATAATAACACTGGCTGGTAATGACGTGAGGGGTTATGGGTAAAACAGGAAAAGGTGTTTTGAGGCAATATACTAATTGAATGCATATGAGACATCCACTAAATGCTACTACAGAGGAGAAAGAACAGCTTTATTAAAAACTAAAACTATACAGGTATGTCAACTTTCATTTATAAAAACTTTCAATTAATAACATAAGTATTGTATTTTAACTTACCATGAATTCAGCCAATGGACACACAAACTAAATTGGATGCCTGTCTGGCTATGACAACAGCGGGAATACAATGAACCTATTGCAGAAAATAAAAAAAATGCAATAATACAATACCAAAGGCATTGCTAATTATATGTATAGTGGGGCATAACATTTCAAGTCCTATGTCACTAGCCAGGCATTAAAATTAAAGTGCTAATGCAAGCCTGGAGGATGAATTTTTACATTTTTACTCACAAAAGGCTAGTGGTAAGTGGGAATTTTGAACTCTGCCATAACTAATGAATTCACAATCTTTATAGAATCACCTCATATCGTGTAAACCAAAAGAACTTAGATTGTGACTTGGTGCTGACAGATCTCTAATAAAACATATGAATAAAATAATGCAGGACCTATAAATTAATTACTTATTTATTATAAATAATCTAAAAGTAGTATAGTGAAGCAAATCACAAAATGCCACTGGTAGAAAGGACTCTTAGCAGGGTTTTCTTCCACACTATGGTTTTTCGCTCCTCTAATGTCACTTCCTCAGGGGCTCTCGGGGAAAGAAAAAGCTTGTTCGCTGGCTTAAAAACCATAAAATCAAACCTTCTGCATGATATCTTATTTAAATCTCCCTTTGACCCTGATTTGACAAACAATGCAATGCTCAGTTCTAGAATCTTTCTATTAATAAATGTAAGCATATTTTTTTAAGACTGGCAAATGACAGCTGTATATTCCTATAATAAAAGCACAGATAAAAATAGATGCCTGTGTGGATTTGGTAATAATTTATAATATAAAAGCTTCCCATCACCAGTATTATTCCATAAATAAATGATGGTTTTTGTGTTCTTGTCCTCAGGCCTAGAACACACATGTTGCTTGAAAAACATAGCCCAGTCAGAAAGTGCTATTGAAAATAGTTTGTCACTCTTCATTGCTACTGCATTCCTTGAGGGATAGGTAGCAAACATCACAAGGATGATCTGTGTTCTGCAGGTCCTGCCAAACATACAATTAGGAACCAGAAGTATTTAGAGGCTTCCTACAAAGTTACAGCAAATACACCTCTGGCAAATCCATAGCTAACAGCTTGGATTAACAACAGCGTTCTCACTACTGCTGATAACAGTAACACTTATGTTGAAGAGCACAAAGAAGGGTCACTGCTTGACAGGTGTTAATCCCAAACAGCCTTAAACTGCTTCAGTAGCGATACACACATAGAGCTAAGATTTGCCCCCTGGTTTCAGAGCCCAGATTGGTTTCAGAACCGTGATTGTTACTTTGGGATTAAGTTCTAAATTGCAATATTGACTGTTACAGTCACAGAGGCCAGCAACAAAATTAGTTAGATAAAATAGAAGTATTTAGCTGAAAAAAGTATGTAAAAATGCAATTTTCTCTTTTTATTACTCTAATCAGAGGTTTTTGATATAACACGAAAAGTCTAAATTTTCCCACAATTATTTTGTGAAATACAACTCCATAGAAAGCTTCCAAAATAACTGAGTGGGAGGTAAGGTGGGAAGTGCAGGGTGGGTATTAATTAATAAAGTGAAGTGGATGTTTATTTTTACTAACAATTCTGTAAATTCACCATTCAGGCAGTCTGCAGCAGGAGTCATCTTCCTCCCATAGTATGATGGCCAATGACTGCACCTCGCTCCCAGCACTGGCCTGTTTAACAAGCTGTGGATTTCTAAGTGTTCCTGGGAAACATGCTTGAGAGCCAGTCACAAGGTTGAGGTGGCCTTAGAAGGGAGCTGGTAGGACTGCATTCTAAAGCAGCCAATCACAGTGATTGCCTGTGCATAGCAGCTCCATGTCTTCCTGGCTGATCAGCAGCATTGGCAGCTGCAATAAAAAGCACCAGGGTCTGTGAAGCATTTCCATGTTTACCATTGTGGGCTGCCGGTGGTAGGACTTGGCAGGTGACTGTCTGGCAAGTTAAGGAGTGGCGTCTCCAGGATTCATACTTAGAGGGGGCACATAAGGGGGGCAGTTATAGAACGTGTGTGTGTATATATTTATATATATATATATATATATGCATACACAAGGCTCGATAAATTCCAGGTCGTCATGGCGACTACACATTTCGCCCTGGCGCCTGGCATTTGTCAGACCTTTGCTAAGCCGCGCCGGAAACATTAGAGTGGGCTGCCACGGGAAGCATGGAGACAGCGCGTGAGGAAGAAGTAACCTTTGTGCAGTTCTTCTCTGCTCCCTTGCACGCTGTTTAGTGACATGACATCACACTGCCCCCGGCATCACTTCAGAGAGCGCGCAGAGGAGCAGAGGAGACACACTGAACGCCAGGGAAAGATCCACTCAGCTCTCCCAAAGGCTGGGTGGATTTAAATTAAAATAGAAATAGCAATTTGTGAGTGTGTGTGTGTTCTGAAAGGGCCTGTAAAGTGTGTGTGTGTGCGTCTAGGGGCTGCATTGTGAGTATATGTGTATTCGGGTTGCATTGTGTGCTTATCAAGGAGCTGTGGTTGTTAAATATATATATATATATGAGATATGGTGTGTAATGGGGTGAAGCATGTATGTATGTATGCATGTGAGTGTAGGGGTGAAGGTATGTGGGGAAGAAGTGTGTATGTGGGTGAAGAGATGATGTGTGTGAGGGGTGCATTGTGAAGAGCTTTACAATTTTTACTTTAATAATTGTTTAAAAAAAAAAAAAAAGAATATTCCCCTTTCCCTCATCTTACTTTGCAGGGAGGAGGTGGCACAATCAGATCCATAGTGGTTGAGAAGGCTGCCTATCCATTGGGTACAGGGGAGGTCACGAGATGAGAGTTCTGTCTCTTGGAGCTCAAGCACTTACAGAGACTGACCCATACAAACCCAGACTGACCCATACACAGACAGACCCATACACACAGACTGACCCATACACACAGACTGACCCATACACATACACAGACAGACACATACACACAAACTGACCCATACATACAAAGACTGACACCCCCCCACACAGACTGACCCATAAACGCACACAGACTGCTACCTTACACAGACTAACCCATACATACATACATAGGCTGACCCCCGCCCCGCACACAGACTGACCATACACACACACACAAACACACACACACTGACCCCCTACACACACAGACTGACCCACACACAGACTGACCCATACACAGAATGGCCCTCACACACTGACCCCCTCACACACAGACTGACCCTCTCACACACAGACTGACCCCCCACACACAGAGACTGACCCCCTCACATACAGATTGACCCATACACAGAATGGCCCTCACACACAGACTGACCCATACACAGAATGGCCCTCACACACAGACTGACCCCCTTACATACACACAGACTGACCCCTTCACATACAGACTGACCCCCTCACATACAGAGGTTGACCCCCCCCACACACAGAGGTTTACCACCCCACACACAGAGGTTTACCACCTCACACAAAGAGATTGACAACCCCACACACAGAGACTGACCCCCTCACATACAGACTGACCCCCTCCACACACAGACCCCGTCACATACAGACCCCCCACACACACTGATTCCCACTTACCTGCAGCTGCCTGGGTAAAAGTGCCCCTGCAGCTTGTGAAGGGAGACCCAGTGCTCCCGACTTCAATTGCAATTGGGGGGGGGCACTGCATGATGAAGGGGGTCCATGGCCCCCTCTGGCCCCCCCTAGTGACGCCACTGAAGTTAAGGCACTAGATGGGTTGTACTGTGCCGACCTTAGCCAACCTCTGCAATGATGAGACTGAAAGTGGTACTAATGAGAACATGGGCTCTATAGTCATAATATAGAAATTGATTACTATGCTGTTAGGTGAAATTAATCTATGTTTACTGGACATTTTAAGCAAGTATATGTAAGGCCAGGGAAATGGTGAGCCCTGCATGTTCCTGTATGACTTTTATGGGCCAGAAGTCCAGGGGAGTCCATCAAAAGTAGAAAGTTTAGAAGTGTATAATTTATTTTAATGGTTTATGTGCATAGCACATTCATAATAGAATAATAATCAGCAAGGTGTAGCTCTTTTTAAAGGGAAACAAATCCATTGTGATTTCAAACTGAATTTCAAGTTTAAGGCCAAAATAGCTTAAATGAAAATAATTTTTTTCAATTTAGCTATTATAGCCTAAATGTTGATATTCACCTTGACTTTTCAACAATTATCACTTTGGTGATTAACCCTATGTAGACTGCATTGTGCTCACCCACTTTTTATTGCGTTCTTTAAAAAAAAAAATCACCCATATCTTTGAGGGAGAGTTGAGCATATTCTATGGATATTTTAAATTGTTTCTGTATCTTTGGCCTTTGCCGCTTAGGGTACAGTGGCATGGGGTACAGCAGAGATGAGTTATACTTACCTGAAGGTGTCTCCAACAGGTGCTACCATCATCCATCTTTACCTCCAGTGAAACCAACATCATGCCGTACTCTTTCATACTCAAAAGTACAACACTGATGTCTATGGAGGATTGTCTTATGATGAGTGAGACAATGCCTGATTCTCACTGCCGTTGCTAGCAACAGCTGCTTTAATTGACAACATGACAGTGGTACCCAGTGGTATTTTGGTTTTGTGCTGCCCTAGACTTGACTAAGCTCGGGCAGCCCACTAATCTAAATTTACCCACCCTTTCCTATCAAGGCTGCACCTTTTACTGTTTAAGACCAACACACACCTTGACTGACAGGCACATGACATACACTCACTGACAGACACACAGTTATTGGCGCACACATTGTTTAACCAACACACACTTTCACTGACAGACACACACCCACTCACTGACAGGCACACACTTTCAGGTAAACATACAATGACATACATTCACTGGCAGACACACGCTGACATACCCGCCCTCACTGATTTGACAGACACTGACAGCCACATACAATCACTAACAGACACACACTCTCACTGATTTGACACACACTCACAGACACACCCTTACTGATTTGACACACTCTGACAGACAAGCACACATTCACTAACACATTTACTCACAGACACATACATACAATCATAGCCACACACTCACTCACAGACACACAACTCACTGACAGACACACATTCACTGACACACACACACACACACACACAGACTCACTGATAGACAAACACTCACTGACAGACCCACTCACTGACAGACACACACACACACATTCACTGATAGTGACACACTCACACACATTTTCTCCGAAATAGTTACTTTTGCCTCCCTACTTTTTGGAGAGCTGGTATGGGTCCTGTCCTTGGGGTCTAGTGTGGATCCTGTACCTGGGGTCCAGTGTTAGATTGCTTTTCTTTTCTTGCACTGCTCCCTGGTGTGCCGATTTGTGATGCCAGGGCCATATTGAGACGTCCAGCGTCACAGCAAGGCGCATGAGGGAGCAGAGCAAGAAAAGCAGGAAGATGACAGCTGCTTCTATTGCTCACAACCGCCCGCCTCTAGGAGTCCTTATGTGGCCAGGTGGCTAGCAAGGCATTTGCTAAAGTTTCCAGAGCATTTGGGTGCAGTTTTTTTGCCTCACTATAATACAGTGCTAGTGATAGCTCTACCTTTTGTCAAGTTTTGAAAAATTAGGATTTAGCAAAAGACACACAGGACATGACTTAATTATTTTGTATAAGCTTGTCAAATGACTGCAATTTTCAATCTATGGAAGTTCTGTAAAATGTAGATTAATCATTTAAAATGTTTCTCTGACAGATTGTGATCATTTGAAAAGCTTATTCAAAAGAGTTAAATTGAAGCTAAAGTCCCTTATCTAATGATAATCTTCTGGTTTAAAGAGCCGCTTTAACAGCAGAACAATTTGTATTGAAGGAAACACAATCCACAGCAGACTCTTCTTTAGTTACATGTATTCATAGATGCTATTATATCAAATTATACAAGTTAATCAAAGTTGTGATGAATAGATTAAGTCATTATTTTTATGAATAAAGGAGACTTGAACTTTTGTGCAGAGGGCTAGTTACACACCCGGCAACCGTAACTCAGGCATCCTGGAACTCTGATCTGGGCTGCCTATTGTCAATTCTGTGCAAAAGTGACATCTGTTGTCAGAACACAGAATGCACTGGCAACACATGTAATCATCTTCTCCCTTGCAGGCAGTGTGCTCTCCACTCCCTCCCATTGTGTGCTCCCTCCTGCCTCCCTATTGCTGTTCATTTCTTAAAAAAAAGAAAAATCCCCACTCTCCCCTCGCAGCTCAGAGTGCGCAGATGAGCTCTGAGACAATGACATGGTCAAATCAAATGAGTAGAATAGAATTGAGTAGAATTTGACAGAACTGCACAAGACCATTGGTGACTTCAGTTGGAGGTATAGCTGTGGATTCTTGGTAAAAAAAAGATTGTGTGTATGATTTATAACTAGGTCATTCTAAAGTAAATGTAAAATTCAGTCAGCATGGGATTATACAGTATACAGTAAGCTGTATACTATAGAAACTAAATGAAATAATATATATGATATAGTAATATTGCATTATTTATGTCTATATGTGTATGTTCTTTTTATTTGTTGCAATCCTACTTTGTAGGAAGAAGAAAATATTAACCTAACTAGTACTGTTTAGGTCTAAATTGTGCTAATGATGTATTTAATGGGTCTGCACTGCACCTTTTATTGTCAAAAAAGATCTAGTAGAACTGATACCTTAAATAGGTTAGTGCTTCCTGAGACCAAAAGTTACTAAGGAGTGTAGCATGCTTAATGGTGCTTGCTAAATTTGAAGTGTATCAATAACATGTCTAAATTGTTAAGTAGACGAAAACTCAATAATGTCCATCAAACAGGGATGTGTTCATATTAACACACTGTGCTAATTGAAGGGAGTGGACATACAGAATAATTTAGGCCGTCTGATGCCAAAGTGTATTAATGACACAGTTATATTTAATGATCCTACAAGGACAAAATTAACAAGACATCCATTCAATGGGTCAAAGTTTATTTAGCTCCAAATGTGCCTGTTTCATTCATATGTAAGATCCACATATATATGTGACATTAATATGCCATTAGTACAGATGAGTTAACAAACTAAGGGACATCATTTAATGCTTTTACCAGAATAACAAAAAAAAGAGGTTTGTAAATGAATGCCCACAAACACATGTTTACCCTTGGAGAATATACCTGGTGACTGCTACATTGTAAACTTGTAAAAATAATTTAAAAAACACACACAAAAAAATCAATTTCTGAGCGTTAGCATCAGAAAATGGTACATCACCCCCACCCCCATGCGCACACACATATTTCATCCAGCTATATAATCCTAAAGCCTACTATAAACAGATTATCTAAACTCTGAACCCTCACTAAGCTGAATATGCAGCTAAACATTTACTATACTAACAATTTTAGTTGCACAACACACATCAAAATTCCTTCATATAACACCCCACATTGCATACATATTTAGATAAGTAAAGGGTATATACACTAAAATGTACCCATGGTGTGTGCCCTCTTTAAAAATAATTGAGTGAGGTTCTGAAAACCTAGTTGAAGGTAATGCCCAAAGTTGCATTCACCCTGGAAAAAATGCTTTAGTATAATATATATAAATATATATATTTTTTAAACAAATAACTGTATAAAATATATAAGAATGTTTGTTTTCTCGATCCCACTATCTTTTATACTATTTGGCAGAGAGTTAAGAATGAGATTTGTTTAGTACATTTGCTAAGAATTTGTAATATATCTCTATGTAGATCAACAGAACATATGGTGACTGCCAGACTTTTAGTACTTTAGATCACTTTTTAGAAAAGGTCACTTACATCAGTGGTCCCGAACCCAGTCCTCATGGACCACCAGCAGTCCAGGTTTTGTCAGTATCTCAATTTGAATTCAAAAGGGAAATTCATAAATCCTGGACTGCTGATGGGCCATGAGGACTGGGTTGGGGACCACTGAGTTACATGAATCTCCCTCTTTAAAGAGTTTAACATTAGTAATAACATTAGTATTTTTGTGTATTCTTATTGTAGCTCCCTTGCCCATTAACATTTGGTTCTCACTGGCTCTACAGTGTTATACCATTGTATTTGTTGTGTCTGACATAACATGATAATGAAGAAGAAAAATGATGGAGATGGGATTGCAGAAACAGAAAGTCTTTCAATGTGTAGATGAGACCATAGCATCCCTGTTCCACTGGCTTGTTATGTGTAGTATTTTGTAGTAAGGTTAACTTAACACTGCATTTTCTCTGAAACAACAGTGTTTAATGCAAAAAGCCTGCAGGGACTGACTATACTCACCAGAACAACTACAATGAGCTTTAGTTGTTCTGGTGACTAGAGTGTCCCTTTAACCCCTTAAAGACACATGGCATGTGTGACATGTCATAATTCCCTATTCCAGAAGTTTGGTCCTTAAGGGGTTAATGAACCCATAGGTTTAGGTAACTAGATCTCACCTTTGCGATTGCACCGTCGGGGTCGTTACAAATTTTACCTCAGACGATGACAGTGCCACTTTAAATTGCACATTATTTCATACCTCCCTCTTTCAAATGGACAAAAAGGGCCACTTTAATTTTATGGATGTGAGTGGGGATGTGGCCAGGGTTGACTTAGTAATTGCAATTTATGCAACTAAAATGGAACTAAGAACAAGAATAATGTAACCAATTTACACAGACGGGTTTCTAAACACATTTATTTTAGTTGGGAGTATTATCGCTGTGTAGTGTGGTATAAACTCAGTCACACCAAGAATACTTATCCTTCTCCTATTTTTAAGCATATATATTACTCAAATTGCTGATTTTGCCGTAAACCCAAGAAATAATGTACATGCCATATAGTACGATATTCCTTTATTAACATATATACAATATATATTTTTTAAAAGTGCATTATCACTCAGAAATTGCCAGTCAGTAATTTACAAGGAAGGAACATTATTTTTATATGGAAGAGCTCTGTATTTTACAAGTTTTGAAAATCAACATGAAACTTGCTATGTATAATGTTATTTACTGTAGAGCCAGAACCCCTTTTCCTCATAAACCAGAGTGAGCAGTTTCCTAGCAGATCATAAAGTCTCAGAGGTCGATTTTACTAGTTACAGGAAAAAATGGCATATCCTGTAAACTGACTTACAGTTAAAAGTCAGAAAATAAACTTTGTCATATTTACTGGCACAAATTGTGGGCTTACTTCCAAATGCACCTCACAACATCCAATTTTGTTGTTGTTGTAAGTGTATATTTTTGAGAAAACATGTTGGAAGTGGTTAATTGCATTGTTTGCAGCCATAATGCCATCAGTTTAAGTTATTAAAAATAAAAAATCTGTGGTCCAAGAGACCCCAGCTAAATAAATCTCTGACCTCGACCTGCTTTACTGCTGGTGAGGGAATGAAAAACATCCCATTGGAACAACAGTGCAACAAATACTCCTTGTTTCTACATGATTTGTGCAGGAAATGGATTGAAGAATTACATTATGTAGGGGCCTGGTGAACAACATCTACCATTTCTCTCATCCTGCAGGGTCATGGGATGGAGGGTAATTACAAGACTGCATGGTCCTTAAGCGACACTGTCACGATGAACTTACCTTTTCCCAATCGCTTCCTCTTCTCTTCTTCTTTCCTACTCTGTGTTTCGTTTTTTTTCAATTTTTCTTATGTCTTATGCATTTTTCCTATGCCTGACTTAGTATTAGAAAATAAGTGAGTTTAAAACTTCCCTCCTGCCCCCCACAACCCAATAAAGGGGGACCTGGCACAAGTTTCCGAAGCCACTATGGTGTGGCACCTATGAGAACAATTAACAGGGGGAGACATAGAGATCCCCTCAAGCCCCCACCCATACCTCACAAGTGGGAGCTATTAAACTAAATGGGGAACCTAGTGTCTCACCCAGCCCAAACCCATTAGTGGCAGTTGTGGGCCCTAAAGATAATGGGCATCCTCTCCGAATCCCCACTCATAAGTGGTGTGTGGGCGGACCTAAGTGAAAGTAGGGGTCCCCTTCAGCTTCCACCCGTTAGCCGTGGGCCCTAAGGGATAATGGGGATCCCCCTCAGCACCAAGCCATTAGCGGCAGGTGGGGACTCTAAATGATAATGTGAGTCCCACGCAGGCCGTTCCCGTTAGCAGATGGTGAGGGCCCTAAGTGATAATGGAGTGGGACCTACTGTCTTTGGTCTTCGTTGATTTGTTGTAATTTCTATTTGTTCATTCGTGTTTCTGATGAATTGATAAATAGGCAAAATTTGGGTTTGAAATTCGGATGATGCAGTAAAAATAAAGATGAAATGGGGGACCTAGAGGCATTTGGGGATGACTAGTGGGTCAATAAAAGTAAAGGAGATAGGACGTGGTTAAAAGGGGCTTTTTGACTCATACAAGTAAGAGTTTCTATTAGTAAGGGCTTTTCTATTCAACTGCTAATGAAGTATACACCGATTAGATGGCTTACATCTTAACTCTAATAGTGTGTCTCCAATACATTAAATGTTTATTCTTTTCTGTTCTAAAGGAGAGATGTGTTCTAGTAAGCACTAAAAAGAAAAAATATATATACACATATACATATATATATATATATATATATATAAAAATCTCTTGCACTCACGCTTAACTGTCCCTTGATTGCCGGGTGCTAGTAATCCAGGGCTTTAGTATCCATATGTCCAAAGAGGTAGCAGCACTCAAGGGGTTAAAAAGTCCAATCTTTATTTAGAAATGTTAAAACACGATCAACGTTTCAGTCCTATCTATAGGACTTTCTTCAGGATCAATACCTTGGATTGGACTTTTTAACCCCGTGAGTGCTGCTACCTCTTTGGCTATATATATATATATATATATATATAATGTATTATAATACAGCAGATGAGGGGGGAGAGGCCTGACAGCCAACCGAGCAGGACGTACATGGCTGGAGCTGCTCAGCCTAAGCCTGAAAAAAAGCATTGATTAACCTGCTTGGGGCCTACGTGGGAGTCCCGGGCAGGGGAGGCGGTCGTTCCGCTGTCGGAGCTCGCTCTGAGTCTCAATTGGGCCTGCTCCCCTTCCCCTCCTCTGGACAGGTGGGGGTTATCACGGTCCCCACTGTCAAGCTACTTGGACTGTTCTCCCGGTCCATTCCTATCCAGCACATACCTGCAACTACAAGCCTACTCACCACCATGGCCGCTGCAACACTGAATGCCCCGAAGCCTGCACACCTGCACCTGAATACTCGAGTGGACCTGCTGCTACTGAAATTTGACAGCATCTGTGCCCAATTCTCAGGGGAAATCAATGCTCGAGCAGGGATTGCCTCGCATGGAGGTCGGTGCAACCGCCTCCAGGTGGGGTCTCCATGGCCTACCCAGGAAGCAACTCCAGCAGTAAGGCAGAAGAAAAGAAGGCTGAGGCTGACAGTGCCTCGGGGTAAACCTACTTTCTGGCACCGCCGGAGTGAGCCCACGCGGCAGTCATGTCATGGTTATCCACGTGGGATTGCAACACGCCGCCAGAGAGAGTCGGCTCGGACAAGCCTGCAGAAGAAGGAGAGAAGATCCAGAGGCTTTGGGTCTGCGGCTGGCAGGGTAGAACACCCTGAAGGGGCACCACATGATAGCAGCTGTCCCCCTCTGCAGCCCAGCAGAATGCCGTACACTGGTGTCGCTGAAGCTCCACCTACAGGCATCGGCTAAGTAAATCTCAGCACAGGCCAACTCTTCGCTGCAGCCATGGACTCTAATATCACACAGTCACTCTATTAATGCAAGTAATGGCCGGCTGTAGTATATATATTCCTCTTAACACCAGGGACACCCAGTGGTTTTAACAATGTTAATCCCAGTAGACCTGCTAAACCTGTTAATACCTATTATCTTCTCCTGATTGTGTATGCCTGAGCCTAGCTAGTTATACTCTACATTTGACAGGGCAGTTCTGTTTTCGCTTCTATACCTACTCTAGATAATGTGTACTTGTCAATATGGCGGAACCTATACGCATTGCTTTTGTATACTCTTTACTTATATCACTCCACCTATACTATAAAATTGTGCATGTGTTCTCAATTACCCCAAATGTAAAGCATGACAATATGCCTGAGGAATGCCGTTGGGGTACCTCATGCATGTTTGTAATATTCTTATGCACTGCAAAATGCAAAAAATAGATAAACAAATAATACAGCAGATGATCATCATATCAAAATTAAATTGTTACATTGGTTGATATATTTTTGAATGTCTAGATCAGTGCCTGGATGTAAAGCATTTGATTTATTTTACACTATTGCTTCTAATCTCTGTCCTTCTTAAAACCTGATAAAATTTTAGAGTTAGTGATTATATATATAAAAATATGCCTACTTGGGAAAAACAACTAAACAGCTACATATTAGTAAGATATTTCTCTGTACTGAATCCAGCAGTACAGAGCAAAAAGCATATATTAAAAGGATACTTTAAGCACCAAAGCAAGTTTAGCTTAAAGGAAAACTATAGGGTCTGGAACACAAACATGTATTCCTGACCCTATATTTTTAAACCCACTATCTAGCTCCCTGGCTTCTCCTTGGGATCCTCAATATAGTAAAATCGTACCTTTATTCCAGTTTGTTGGTGCTGGCTCTGCCGCTGATCTGCCTCCTTAAGTGACATCATCAGAAGTGATGATCTCAGCAAACCACATTTTTTTTTCCATAGCAAAGCATTGGATTGGCTGAAATGGTCAGTTCTGATTATCTCAGCCAAGGAAGTAATCAGGAGTGGAGCCAAATGCTGCCCTGGCTTTTCAGCATCTCCTCATAGATATCCATTGAATCTATGCATCTCTATGAGGAAAGTTCAGTGTCTCCATGCAGAGGGTGGAGACACTGAATATCAGTGCTGCAAACAGTGCAGCACTGCCCCAGGAAGCACTTCTAGTAGCCATCTACTGAGTAGCCAGTAGAGGTATCCATGGTCTGTAAGGTTAACTTAACACTGCATTTTTTCTGAAACAACAGTGTTAAATGCAAAAAGCCTGCAGGGACTGACTATACTCACCAGAACAACTACAATGAGCTTTAGTTGTTCTGGTGACTAGAGTATCCCTTTAATGAAGATGTTTGGGTATATAGATCATGCCCCTGCAATCTTACAGCTCAGCCATTTAAGAGTATTTTGTTTCTGTTTATGCAGCCCTTGCCCTCCCCTGGTTCTGACTCACACAGCCTGCATGAAAAAAAATGTTTACATTTTAGTCAGATCTTACGGTGTGTTTACTATAGAAGTTTTTTTTGCTCTTGCTCTGTTAATTGAACTTTAATCAAACACATTTACAGAGCAGAACAGAGCACATTCTAAGTTAAACAAACTGTGTAATAAAGGGATATTAAAAACGAGATCTATCATTATAGGAAATATGTAGGGAGGTTATGTAAAGCTGGGGAGGTGTGCCTAGGGTCGCTTAAACAAATTGTTTAACTCTTAAATGGATAAGAATTGAGCAGCAAGACTGCAGGGGCATGATCTATACATCAAAGTCCCAAAGTGTATCCCTTTAAATATATACAAGTGTAGAATAGAACGTGCAACTTGCTGCAGAAATAGTTTTTAACCTTGAGTTTATTTCCACACCAGAATTGTCTATTCATTTAAAGGGATATTATAAATGTACGTTCAAGCTCCAGAAATCATACGCACTCACTTTGTGTCAGACACACACACACTGAAACACACATATACTCACTGACAGATATACACTGACAAACACACATACAGATACACTCACTGACAGACATATATACATTCAGTGTGAGGCACACACATTCACTGACAAGACATACACTCTCAGTGACAGACATGCATACACACACTGCCAGATACCTATATACACATTGACACATGCATACACACACACTGACAAACACATATACACGATCAGTGACAGACACACACTCTCACTAACAGATACACACACACTCTCACTAACAGACACACACACACTCTCACTAACAGATACACACACACTCTCACTAACAGATACACACAGACTTTCACTGACAGACACACACACATGCTCACTAACAGAAACACTAACACTCACTAACAGACTCACTCAGCTCTCTCGCACGCCTCTCAGTGATGCCGGGGCTGGAGTGACATCATATTCCAGCTCTGGTATCACTGGAGTGCGCACGAGGAAGCTGAGCAGGAGAGAGCACTCCCTCGCCGCCCGCCTCTTACACCAGTGCATTTCATCCTCAAGGGGGCCCTAAGGGTTGCCAGCCAGCCAGCTCCTGGGCCCCCAAGGACAAGAAGCAGGCAAGGTATCTGTCAGGGCAATTGGGTGACTTCTTTTTTTGCCACCCCCCTGCAAGTGCTTCCCAAGGCAAATGCCTTGTCGGCCTCACACTAGATACAGCGCTGCAGACACCCTACAGAAAGGAAGAGGCTCTGCCAATCAGATGTTTCCCTTTACGGTTTTTGAGTTTTTATTTATTTATTTTCTAAGTTCTATCCAGCAAAGGTTTATCTCATATGAAGTTTCGTTCCTAGCCACAGTTCCTCTTCTGACATATGATAACTGGACCAACTGAATACGTTGATAGCAGTTATACCATGGCCACTGTCAACAATTCACAGTTATTTAAATCTTTCTGTTGAAAGCAAGCTTCCAAGCTGCCACCTCACAACAGAACTGCGTGATGGATTTTGAGAGATATCCATCCAAGCTGTGGATGCAGCAGACATTGACTGCACACACCACCAACAACAAAGTTGGATAGATGTTGAATAGCAAATAGGAAACAAAGATTTTTCCTGGGACATCTGTGGCATGTTTCTGGGAGCACTTTTATTGCTTTAGTATTTTTTTCCAAATTGCTGCAGTTATAAGCTACTTTCAAGAGCAATAACCTTTACAATGAAGAAAAAGTATCAAGGTGTTTAGAGTAACCCTTTAAACTTAAAATTATTATTGGAGCTTAAAGTACAGTACTTCAACTGATATTTAAGTCCAGAAACATTTGGACACTGACACACGTTTTGTTATTTTGGCTGTTTACTAAAATAAATTCAAGTTACAGTAAATAATGAATACAGGCTTAAAGAGCAGTCTCTCGGCTTTATTTGAGGTTATTCACATCCAAATGGGAGGAAGGGTTTAGGAATTACAGTTCTTTAATATGTTGCCCCTTCTTTTTTAAGAGACTAAAAGTACTTGGCCAATTGACTCATTGACAGGGGTGGGCTATTCCTTCATTATTTCATCATCAATTAAGCAGGTAAAAGGTCTAAAGTTGATCCCAGGTGTGACATTTGCATTTGGAAGCGGTTACTGTGAACCCACAACATGCGGTCAAAGGAGCTCTCAATGCAAGTGAAACAGGCCATTCTTAGGATGCAAAAACAAAATCCATCAGAGAGATAACAGGAATATTAGGAGTGGCCAAATCAACAATTACATAGGTACATTCTAAAAAAAATGCACTGTGACCTCTGTAACACAAAAAGGCCTGGACATCCATGGAACAACAGTGGTAGATGATCGTAGGTTCCTTTCTATTGTAAAGAAAAACCCCTTGACATCCTCCAGCCAAGTAAAGTACACTCTCTAGGAGTTAGGTATATCATTATTCAGGTCTACCAAAAAAGAGAAGACTTCATGAGGGTTCACCACAAGGTGCATACCATTGACCAGCCTATAAATAGATAAGCCAGATTAGATTTTGCCACAAAATCATCTGAAAAAAGCCCACTTCTGGAACAGCATTATTTGAACATAAACTAAGATCAATCTGTACCAGAGTTATGGGGGGAGGAGGGGGGAGATGGAGAAGGCTTGGAACGCCTCATGTTCTGAAGCACACCATCATCTGTAAAACATGGTGGAGGCAGTGTGAAGCATGGCTTCCAATGGCACTCGGTTATATGTGTCTAGCAATTATGGGACAGAAGCAGTTGGATTAATTCTAAAATGTATAGGGATATATTGTCTGCTTAGATTCAGACAAATTCAGTAAAGTTGATTGGATGGTGCTTACGTTTACAGAGAAACAATGACACAAACTTGCTGTGAGAGCAACCTAGGAATTTTTTAAGGCAAAGAAGTGGAATATTTTGCAATAGCTGAGTCAATCACCTAATCTCAACCCTATCGAGCATGCATTTTACTTGCTGGAAACAAAACATAAATAACAAAGACCCACAAACAAACAACTGAAGACAACAGCAGTAAAGGCCTGGCAAAGCATCACAAAGGAGGAAACCTAGCGTTTGGGGATGTCCATATGTTCCAGAATACAAGCAGTTATTGTCTGCAAAGGATTCCTGGCAAAGCATTAAAAATTCACATTTTATTTATAACTGTGTTAATTTGTCCAATTACATTTGAGCCCCTGAAATAAGGGGACTTTGTATCAAAATGATTGCAATTCCTAAGTTTCATACAATATTTTTGTTTAACCCCTTGAATTAAAGCTGGGAGCCTGCACAATTTCATTTCAAATCCATTGTGGTGGCGTACAGAGCCAACATTTTTAAAATTGTATCAGTGTCCAAATATGTATTGTCAAAGAATGCTTGAAATCATTTTGTCTTTTTTTGTCTTTTACCTTTTATATATAACTTATTTGCCTATTTTATGTTTTCCAGGGGGATTAATCACATGGTTTAAATATCTGATCATGTTTTGTAAGTATTAATTGTACCAAGGAATACTTCTATGCAATGGAAAGACATTTCAGCATCATAGCAATCAATACATTTCAAATCAATTGTTAAAACAGAGTCAGAATAATGTTTCTTAGGAAAATCTCTGGGATATTCCCAACTGGGTTTGGACTTCGTCTTTCTCAGAAATTTGTATTTTTATTGTTTTTATCTGGATTCATTACACTTTGCTTTGGAACATTGTTCCTCCTACCAGACACATCCAAATTTAGAAGAATATTTTTATCAGGTTCACAGAGCCAGAATGTGGAAAAATTACACAGTTATGCTCCTAAGAAAGTGAACAAGAAAGCAGTGGAATACCAAAAGTCTTTGTTGCGGAGTGCACACCATGAAAAGTGGAAATCCAAAGGCAAATATCAAGTGGAACTTAATTCGTTAGGATATGAGGGCAACAGTATTGAAAATGCATACAACGACAAACAAAAAGCAGATCATTTTCAGAAAAAAGAACACGCTAATATTAAAATAAAGGAAATTGTGGTACCTACTCACGAGAACAAAATACCTGAATTTCAGTATAATTATAGAGCTTTCCAAAAAACGCTTACATATCCACCACTGGGCAACACAAGTGAATCAAATGATTCTGAAATTCAGGAAAAAAGGAAGAAAGTAAAAGAGGTATTTGTTTTATTGTTATTTTTTTTGTAGATGAATCTGGTATTGCAATGATTATTTGAAAGTGTTGTTATGGATGCATATGCCTAGGTTGACTTTTTGATTAGAATTTTCGGGATTTACTACTTCTTATCACTTGTCTCATTGTCATGTCAGGAGGGTGTAATAATGTGATTGCACCAGTCTAGCTGTCCTGGTAGGTGTTTTCACCAATGCTGGTAAGTTAGCTGTCCCGTCATGATGGGCCATGAAGCAACAAGTGAGCAATACAACAATAGGATGAGTAGATTTGTTTACTTATGGAATAATACTTGTAAGTACATCTGCCAGGCCTGGTTGTAAGGCTCTTTCTGTCTGACTCCATGGAGTTATCCATTTTAGGAGCACTGTAGTGGTTATGATGCCAAGAGTGGCCTGGTGTCCCCCTATGTAAGTAGTCAAATTTTTGCTAATAGTTTTATGACTTACCTGGGGTCCACCAAGTGTCCGCCAGCTCCTCCATGAAAGCCAGAAGCTTTCTGCATTGAGCTAGGCTCCGCGAAGCAGGGCTTAACTCACTGGCTGAGACCAATCAACGTACATTTTCGGCCAATCAACTGGCCTTGCACGGCAGGGTTTAGCTCAGAAGAACTAACAGAAGCTGAGTTTCTTATTTGAATAACTGTGTAAACGGTATGGACTTCAATTGAATAGGTATATTATATTAAATTATTAAGCTTGAGGATTATTTTATGACATGCATATGCATATGTAGGGAAGAGAATATATGTACCTACCTATGTATTCTTACTATTTCCCTTTAAAGTCAAATATATTTTTCCTTTTAAGAGGTCCCTAGTAGTATAACCCCTTTAAGTGTTACATGCCTAGGAATTTTTTGAATTTTTAAAACTTAGTTTTGTTTAAAAGGAATACATTAAAGTAATTTATTGAAAAATCTCATCAGGCCCTGCCTTCCAATTTGTGTTCGGGGCTACACCGATTATGATTCAGGTAAGATTGTTGTTATTAACCTTGATATGAAAAAGTCGGTTGAGGTGTTCTGAAACCAACGTATGCTGTAGGCCAGTAAATAAAGTGGGCAAAAAGGAACACAGTGAGGTAGCTCAGTTAGTAAATTCTGGTAAACTGGTGAGGTAGCTCAGTTGGTAAATTCCCTGGTTCAAATCCTGGCAGCTCTTCATCCCTCTGAGGTTGATAAAGTGAGTACCACTAAGTAACATCTATTACTATTTAGTTGCTGATTTGGTTAATTCTGAGACTGTGAGTCCCACTGGGAGAAAGACGCTAAATAAATACTAATTATTGTTATTATCTCCTTAGTTATTGTTATTATCTCCTGCTTAAACACATTTATTGAGAAATAAACGTAATACCACATAAGTAGTTTAAGATGACATTTACGCATACCAGTTGAGGAATGTATGTTGTATATGCCGATGACCTCTAGCGATTTAATGATATGGACTGGAACGTTCTGGCTGGATGCTGTGGATGTGGCCCCTATTCTAAGTGAGTGTCCTGAATAACTGCTAGGGTTCAGGCCTAGCCTTATTAAAAAACATGAATTTGGATGTAGTGAGGGTAGCTCCGTGCAGTGGCGGAAGGGAGGCGTGATTTTGAACAGTGAGAAGGTAGGAATCGAAAACCTTTACTGGGCACCAGGAATTGTTCATGGGGTAATAAGGAATGTGGACAGGTTGACCTAGCTGGCTTGTTTTGGTCAAGGGTGGAGTGAGTATGTAATAATCTAGATGTTTCCTTAAATAGGAGACATGGAGGCAGAGTTGTGTCGACCACTTATGGTGAACTCCCATGGCCTCAGGAAGCCGTAAAAGGCCAGGTATATGGTGGTGACTGAGTTAGTCTGGGGTTTGAACGGGGCTGAATCTAGTACCTCTGACATGTCTTTGAATAACTGTTTGTTGATGGGTAACCTTTGTTGTATGGTAATACCGTCAACCTTGGATATACCCTTCAGTATGGTCTTAATGGGGTATAAGGAGAGGAAACTAGATACTAAAAAAAACAACTAGTTATTGGGGAAGGCGATGTACATATGGTGCTGGATGCCTATCGGGTATAACTTAATTGTGTTGTGTGATAACTTTAACTTGAGGTAGCAAAAAGTGGCGAATGCTACCGGGGAGGTTGTATCAAACATGTTATCTAGTTGATGATCTGCCATAAATTTCCTGTATAAGGAAATGCCCTGTCATAGGCAGTACAAGTGTTGGCGGATAGGGCCAGTTTTGTTAGGGTCTGACTGTGGTGTAGTAACTCGTCTAGTCCATAATTAGGTCTTGGAACAGGGGGGCCTGCTGTGGCCCGATGTGCAGTTGTGGGTAGGGACTCTCAGAAAGCCTGAAATTGAAAGCGAGACAATCGAACAGCTGCAGTGTTTAAAACTCCTGAGACATGGCACCACACTAAGTAAAGCTGATTGTAGGTAGCCAGCCACGTCAGTCTTCTAATGAACCTCATTATTATCAAAGACGCCGAGTGGCCTTTGTTACTAACGTGGCAAATCACCTGATTGTCTGAAAATCACTGTACCATTTTGCCTGACCACAAATGGACCCATGCTACTGCCACAGCTACAATGGGGTACACTTAAAAAATGAGTTCTTGTAGAACCCCTCTATATCTTGTACCTCCTCAGGCCAACTGCCCTAGAGCCATTCGTTGCTGAAAATGGCTGCGAAACCTGTGGTAGCTGCTGCATCCCTCCAAATGACATGGGAGTGTATAGATACCTGTGGAAGAAACATGCTTTCCCATTCCAGATTGAGAGAAGCATGTTCCACACAAGTAGATTTGCTGTGGCTTGGGTGTTGAGGGAGATGTGGGTAGTAGGCTCAAGAGTCTGTGGGATGATTCTTATTGCGAAGTTTAGTGAGCTTAACAGTGATTGTAATTCTTTCTGGTTACATGAGCCGGTATGTCTGTAATTATTGATGTCGTGGAGGATGCTTGTGATTTTTCTTTGAGGAAGACTGGCTTTCATAGCCACCTTATCTAGTTGTATGCCTAAGAAATTAATAATGATGTCGGCAGTGGCATACCTACCACGATCGCAAGGGTCACAGCTGTGACCGGGCCCCTCACTCCAGGAGGCCGGCCAAGGCAACGGTCCGCTGGTGTCTGGCAGGAGGGGAGAGCTGTGCTGTGTTATTTTACATAACAGTGTCTTTATACCCCTTTAATAGTAAGCACAAAGATACCCAATGCCATATTAGTTGTCGACCGCTAGAGGGCCACAAGTCAAACTGCCCAAACCATTGGCAACATGTTGAGAGTAAACTGTCATGCGTTCGTGAGAAAAGGCGCGAACGTATTTGCATCAAGTAAACCTAGGCGAGGATTTGAGTATCAAAAAGAACAGAACCCCTCGAACCCTCTTACAATAATAATAAGTGAAGGACCCAAATGCTCTAGCCGATAATAGAGCCTTTATGCCTATCTGCCCCCCATTAACGTGCTACTGCAGCCGTGTGACTAATGACCCATTCGTATGAAATGAGCTGAATGGGGGTGGCAACGTTAGATGGTAGGAACTAGAAGTGCCACCGAACAGAACATAGAAAACGAATGAAATAGGTGAAAGAAAATGTTCAAACAGTGAGGGCGCTGGCGCGACGGTCAGCCCACATGTTCAGAGGTCAGACCGTCGGGAGCGGGCTGTCGCCTCGAGGGGGATCCAGAAAGAAAGTTTCCACAGAGCAGCTAGCTGGCGGTCTGAGTAACAGCAGCAGATCATCTGACCAATTATGGTAAGGTAAGGAAGGGGGGAGTCCCTTTTAAAGACCCATAAGCCCCTCCCACAACTTCAGGCCCTGTCTTCCAATACATTGTATATACAATATATATAATATAATATAGGGATCAAATGTTTAATTGATTGATTTGCTGTAGGCAAATTTTCATTTTTCAATACATCTGAAAAAGAGCTTTGTTTTTAATGGTAGCCACTCAAGATTACATACTATAACATACACTAATCAGGCACAACATTAAAATCACTGACAGGTGAAGTGAATAACATTGATTATAGTGTTACAATTAATATATTATTCAGCAAGTGAATAGTCAGTCACCTACCTAGAGATTGTTTCAGACAAAATACACCCATGTATGGCTTTAGGGCAGTGGTGTAATGTACCCTGCCACACTGCAAAAATTGTTCAGGAATGGTTTGAGGAACATGACAGGTTCACGGTGTTACCTTGGCTTTCTAATTCCCCGGATTTTATTTTGTTTGAGCTAGAACAACAAATCCAATCCATGGAGGCCCTACATTGCAACTTGTTATCATTCCAGATAACACAGGACACATTGAGAGGTTTTGTTGAGTCCATGCCTAGACTCACCAGAGCTGTTTTGACAGCACAAGTGAGACTTACACAATATTAGGCAGGTGGTTTTAATGTTGTGGCTGATTAGTGCACCAGTGATTGTTGAATATTCAACCATCTATTCCAATGGATCTCAACATTTTGACAGCCACCAAAATTATGCACATGGCAATAGCCATGACACACAGGTTAAGAACCAGTGTGCTATTCACTAAGTGCAGATTGAAATGTTCAAGTGAGGAAGCCAAAACTCAAGAGAAGTCAGCAAACGAAACTCAGATGTACCATGCCATATCCAGTGCAATAACAAGGTAGTGAAGTCACCTTCACACAGTTTTCTTTCATCTAATAATAGATGATCTATAACTATGGCAGCTATACTTGAAGGAATTTTCTTACCGCTAGACATGACGACAATTCTCACTGAAGATAAAAATGCCCCAGTTCTTTAGTCAGGTTGCTAAAAACAAATTTAGCAGTCTGATACTAAGACAGTGAAAAGGGTTATTTAAAGCCCAACTAATAATTATTCTTTTAACAAATTACAGTATGCTGAGATAAATAAACTAGCTATCACAATTAATTGTTTTGCTTATACAATTTAGTTTTGTTTGTAAAATGAACACATTATAATTTCCTGTGGTAGACTTTAAGCTGACCGTAAAGTAATATGACCTTATTAAATATGTATTTTGTTTTTTTATTATAAAAAAAAAAACATGGCTGCTTCCCAAGCATTTATAGTATGCCACAGTAAGTTATATAGCAAGAATATTTCTACTGCCAAAAGGGAACCAATAAAGAATTCAATATATTTACTCAACAAAATAAACAGTTTTTAATTTATTTTTTATAGACCTGAAAAACACAAACATAGGCTCCATGCTTACAAAGTTATGTCACTAACAGGGTATTTCACTAAAGTGAAAATTCAAAGCAAATTTCAAATTTAAAGGAACACTTTAGGGTCAGGAACACAAACATGTTTTTCAAACCCTATAGTGTCAAAATCACCATCTAGACCCCCGAGTATACCTTTATGCCAGTCTGCTGCTGCTGCTGGCTCTCCCCTGATTTGTCTGCTTTGCTGGCATCAGATTCTCTCAGCCAATCACAATGCTTTCCATATGAAAGCATTAAATTGGCTGAGACTGTCAAGGAGGCAGATCAGGGGCAGAACCATCACAAGCCAAACACAGCCCACACCAATCATCATCTCCTCATAGATATGCATTGAATCAATGTATCTTTATGAGTAAAGTTCAGTGTATCCATGCAGAGAGTGAAGACACTGAAAGTCAGTCACACTGTGCAGCACTGACCCCGAAAGCAACTCTAGCAGCCATATGAGGAGTGGCCAGTGGAGGTATCTCTAGGCTGTAATGTTAACACTGAACAAGGAATAGAGCAGCACTAAACAAACTAAAAACACTAGGATGGGAGGCAGTATACCTGATAATAGGGGAATACCTCTAAACCCCAAGAAAACTAGAACAAGTCATACAACAATATACAGGTAGTGCCAAGAAAAATACTCCAAACACAATAGTATATAATAATATGAGCAATGAAAGCAATAGGCGCAATAAAAAAACCCGCAGGATATCAAAAGAGTCCACAATAAAACTTAGAAGAATAGAAAATACCAAATGGTACGGCACAGTCTCGATGGTGGCAATAGATCTTCTAGATCTGGTATGGGACTTTCTTGGTAGCTCCGCTTAATAGCAGTATATGAAAAGGAAGCAAAAACAATAGTGCAATATGGTACTACGTGGTAGGACAAACAACACTTGGATAAGATGTCAACGCACATATGGTAGAGCTATACCCAGCTCTAGGTAAAACAGCATGCAGTGGTATACAATACCCACTTTCAGGATATCCCTCTGGTTTTGGTACATAGTAGAATGACGGTAAATCACAACTGGATAATGATGACGTAGATCATATGGAATGACAAGAAAGCAGACAATAGTGCTCTCTATATAGATAGGTAATATAAGGTAAATAAAAATATACTTACAATAGAGTGAGCAGACTAACCACTCTATGTATCAAGCCTGGGTGGTATAATCCTCACCAAGGATTTCTTTGGTTGGTTGTCCGCAGTAGGTAATGGATCCAGATGTCAAGTAAAAGTATAAAAATAAATAATAAGTTCTAAAAATATATGGCTAAAAGGCAGGTAGTGAGGTAGCCAAAATACTTTATTTAACAACAGCATAAAAACCACAATGCATTTCTCCCCTTAGGGCTTTCTCACGTCTGTTAAGGAGCCAGATCATGCGCAGAACCAGCACAAGCCAACCCCACCCAGACCAATCATCATCTCCTCATAGAGATGCATTGATCAATGTATCTCTATGAGTAAAGTTCTGTGTATCCATGCAGAGGGTGGAGACACTGAATGTCAGTCACACTGTGCAGCACTGACCCATGAAGCATCTCTAGCAGCCACATGAGGAGTTGCCACTGTGGGTATCCCTAGGCTGTAATGTGAACACTGCCTTTTCTCTGAAAAGACAGCGTTTACTGCAAAAAGCCTGACGGGAATGATTTTACTCACCAGAACAAATACAATAAGCTGTAGTTGTTCTGGTGACTATAGTGTCACTTAAAGGCCAAGGTAGCTGCATGGATAGCATAGGTGAATTAGATCATTTTTCCACTTCAGCTATTTTGACCTTAAATTTTAATTTCACTTTGAATTCACCATAAATGTTCACTTTAAAGAGTAACCCTGTAAATATTAATTCATTGGGATTAACATTACTTTTAATTCATTCTCAGAAGATTTAGAAATGTATATAATTTGGCCTGTCAATGAGAATAGATACTTTGTTTAGGCCATGAAATTGTGATTTGAATTGATATCTGGGGGTTAAAAAGCAACTAATTTGAATATATTGAAGTCTAAAGAGCTGTTCTGAATGCCTATTCTAAATATTGACACTTTTTCAATACACCCAGATATGTAGTAGAAATTCAACTATTATTGTCAGCTTTACTGCCTCAAAACAGAAAATTGAGCAATTTCAACTAAACAGATGAGTCACTGACTTGTTACATAAAATATTTCACATTCATTTACCAAAATAATGAGGCTGGTATACTGTACGATGCTGTGCAACATGTTTTTGAGGGATTTCATTAATAACCTGCAGTGTACATATGGAGTACCAGTCTGCTTTTAGATGTAAATTACATTATTTGTTAATGTTTCAGGTGGTTTTCAGTGAAATACAGTTTTAGTCCCTATCTGATTATCTGTGCTAGTTAAATAAAATAAAAGAAACACCTTTGTTGAATTGAAATAATCAAGGTTTGTATTAAAATTAATTATTTTATAAAATGGAAAAAGCTAAAACCAGGGTAGGAAATTTAACGTCACTATTTTGGATCCTAGACGGTAACAAAAAAATCCATCCAAGAAGCACAAACTAAATCTCAGATCCTCAAAGAGCTGGTGGGATAAATTCTCAAACAATATACAGTAGGCCTAAGAAACAGAATAATAGATGAGCTCCCTTTCTCTAGCATTACAGATATGCTAGTTAACATAAAAATAGATGCTTGGAAATCTGGAGGGATAAGAGAATTAAAAAATGTACTGGTGGTATATATAATTAAAACCTTCAATCAAATTAAGGAGGAATTCAATATTCCCCCCAAGAAACTTTAAACTTCCTGCGAATTAAGGGCTTTTTAGTAGAACACCTTCTCCAATACGAGGGGGAGAAAATCATAACCCTCAAACATCTATTTGAATTAAAGAACTATAAAAACCTAATGGCAAAATGCGCTAAAGTTATTTACAAATGGAGACACGATAAACCGATAGAACTTATTAATAAGTGGGAAAAAGAACTACAAGTACAAATAGAAGAAGAAGAAGAATGGATAAGTTCTCTAAACAAATTAAGTAAACATGTACATTGTCTTGATGATAATTCTACATATAAATACAGCAGCTAAACTAATGTTAGAACGCAACTGAAAAACAGTGACAATACCAGGCACTCAAGAATTAATATCTCAAGTCATATGGCAAGCAAGAATGGAAAAGGGCATCCTGGTGAATTTAGGGAACAGATACACTCAAATAGAAGACTGGGATACATGGATATATAAAATGTAAATGACAACCTAACAAATACCATCATGGTTACTTTACCCCCCTTCTGATTCATGCAATAATTAAATCAAGTATAGCTATGCTCAGACTAAAAGAGGCAAGGGCCTGAAACGAGGAGGGAGGATAAGAAAAGAAGATACAAGACCGCAACCTCCAATTGGGCAGACAAAACAAAAAAACAGAGTAGTAAAATAAATAAAATATACTGAGCATAAGAGGCTCTCTCTCCAAAGAAAAGGGATTAGGCAAAACGATAGATTAGAATACTTAACAAATCTACAAAAAAAACAGAATAGTAAAATAAATAAAATATACTGAGCATAAGAGGCTCTCTCTCTCTCCAAAGAAAAGGGATTAAGCAGAACGATAGATTAGAATACTTAACAAATCTACAAGGGTCGTGAGGGGGATGGGGCGGGAGGAATGGGAACTCGGGTGGGAGGGGGGGTCACAGGGAGCACAATTTAGACTACACGAGAGATTTATGATGACTGAAGTGCCATGGCCTGAAATATAGAAACACTAACAAAACTATACAAGGCAAGTAAATTTTTTTTTTTTAAATCTGTAGGATATGTTAATTTTAATGAGCATTTCAAATTAACATAAACCATCTTAATAAATAAGAGAACAGAATACACAGAAGGAAACTGAATTATCTTTGAAAACGGAATGAGGAACACATAGATATAGATAATAATTAGGTATTATTATTAGGATGATAAAGATTACTGTAATTATTAATAAAGGTTCATCATAGTTTAACTACAATAACTTTAGTTTGATGACTGTATATATATATATATATATATATATAATGTGTGTGTGTGTGTGTGTGTAGTGCATGTGTTTAGCACAGTTCCTATTTTGGTGTTATCTCATATGTATTCATAGTACTGAGGAAATAATATCAAATTGTTGAGAATGGCATAGGTGTAAAAAGCAGGAGATATGGGGAGATGACTCACCAATTGTTAAACTAATGGGGAGATGAGAAGGGTATGACCCTCCCCAGTCATGTTGGTGTCGCTGTCGATATCTTATCTTTTATTGTTTTTAAAAAAATGAGAAAAGCAAAACCTATTAGAATAGAAAATGGCATGGTGCTGGGTTTGTTACAAAAGACTGTCTCTCCCTAGAATTTATCGTTCCTGTGCTGATGGAAATTGGCTCTTTCTTAACAAACTACACTGAATGTGCTCAGGCTTCTGAGCATAGAGTTAGCTAATCTCCACATGTAGTAAAAGAACTTAGTGCAAAGGTTTAATTATATAGCAACCTCATAGAATTTTTAGATGTGTATAAGTCCAATTAGAGGGCTCTGTTTTGAGAACAGTGCCTCCTTTTATATAAACATGACATGACTTACACTATATGAACAAAAGTATTGGGACACACCTCTTAATTATTGAATATGGGTGTTTCAATCAGACCCCCATTGCCACAGGTATATGAAATCAAGCATCTAGCCATGCAGTCTGAATTTGCAAACATTTGTGGGGGGAAATAGGTCATTCTGAAAAGCTCAGTGAATTCAAACATGGTACGGTGATAGATTGCAATAAGTCAGTTTGTGAAATAACAGTATAGGGCCCATTACTTTCAGTGAAGGGAAATCTTAAAGGACCACTCTAGGCACCCAGACCACTTCAGCTTAATGAAGTGGTCTGGGTGCCAGGTCCAGGTAGGGTTAACCCATTTTTTAATAAAAATAGCAGTTTCAGAGAAACTGTTATGTTTATTAATGGGTTAAGCCTTCCCCCTAATCCTCTAGTGGCTGTCTCATTGACAGCCACTAGAGGCGCTTGTGTGCTTCTCACTGTGATTTTCACAGTGAGAGCACACCAGCGTCCATAGGAAAGCATTATGAATGCTTTCCTATGCGACCGGCTGAATGCGCGCGCAGCTCTTGCCGCGCGTGCGCATTCAGCCGACGGGGCGGAACGGAGGAGGAGAGAAGGAGGAGAGCTCTCCGCCCTGCGCTGGAAAAAGGTAAGTTTAAACCCCTTTCCCCTTTCCAGAGCCGGGCAGGAGGGGGTCCCTGAGGGTGGGGGCACCCTCAGGGCACTATAGTGCCAGGAAAACGAGTATGTTTTCCTGGCACTATAGTGGTCCTTTAATACTTCGTCATAGAAAAGGCATTTTGAACAATGCTTGCAACATTGTGAGAACAGTTTGGAGACAACCCTTTCCTATTTCAGCATGACTGTGCCCCAGTGCACAAAGCAAGGTCCATAAAGACATGATTGGATGAGTTTTATGTGGAAGAACCTGAGCCCTGATCTCAACCCCATTTGAACACCTTTTAATGAACTGGAAAGGAGATTGCGAGCCATGCCTTCTCGACCAACATCAGTGCCTGACCTCACAAATGCTGTACTGGATGAATGGGCAAACACCCCATAGAAACATTACAAAATCTTGTAGAAAGGCTTCCCAGAAGAGTGGATGCTGTTATAGCTGCAAAAGGGGACCAATTGCATATTAATGTCTATATATTTAGAATGCGATGCTATAGAAGTCCCTGTTGGTGTAATGGTCAGGTGTCCCAATACTTTTGTCCAAATGGTGTATATACATTTTTGTTTCAGTTTTCTTTTAAACTGCTACCCAGTAATAGTACTGTGATGTTTGCATGAAATGTCCATTAACCTGTCCACAGAATGAGACCAACAGGTTTTTGAATCTTAAACACCCATTCTTTTTTTCCTTTATTATTTGATTCAAAGAGCTATAATTTTTCATTTGAGTTTGTATTGCTATAAAATTCTATGTGGGTGTTAAAATATAAAGTTCATGTGGATTCTTAATGATATAACCACTATGTGTATATTTAGATTAATATAATTCTACATGCCTGAAAGTGTAATTCTCCTGTCTGAAAGTGTCCTATGTTTCTTTACATATTTACAGTTTCTCTATATATTTTACATCAACATACATTTTATAATGTATACTAATTTGTTTTATAGCCACTGGATAATTTTTATATCTAGAGTTTTTTTATTTATAGAATGAATATGATTGTGGAAACAAAGTTATAACATGTTGTTTGCCAACATTTTTCTTCACCATTGTTGGTTATTGTCCAGTAGCTTTGCATCCCTATTTTAAGAGTCCACTTACTCGTAACCTATGCCTAAATATGCTGCATAAATCTCCCAGGGCAAGGCAAGTATTGAACCCAGTGGTGGAACTACCTAGAAAGAGACCTGGTGCAATAATTTGTTGGGGCCCCATCTATCCAGTGGCGGATCCAGAGCCTGATCTCGGGAGGGGCACTTGTAGATTATTTAAATAAATAATCCTGGCACAATAACCACTACAGCTCAGTGTAGTAGTTATGGTGCCAGTAGTGCCAGGATCCCACCCCAGAGTAAGTAGTCATACCGTTTAAGAACAGTTTGACAACTTACCTGGGGTTTGCTGTGATATAGGGCATAGGAGCAGTGGCGGCAGTGTATGTCAGGGTTGCAGTGTGTGTTAGGGGGCAGTGTGTGTGTGTGAGGGTGGCAGTGTGTGTATGGGGGGCACTGTATGTGTGTTTGGGGCAGTGTGTGTATGGGGGCACTGTATGTCTGTGTGGGGCAGTGTGTGTGTGGGGAACACTGTATGTATGGAGAGGTTGTGTGTGTGTGGGGCAATGTGTGTATGGGGGGGGCAGCAGTGTGTGTAGGGCACTGTATGTGTCTGTGTATTGGTGTGCAGTGTTTGTGGGGCAGTGTGTGTATGGGTGTGCAGTGTGGGCAGTGTGTGTATGGGGGCAGTGTTTGTGGGGCAGTGTGTGTGTGTATGGGGTCAGTGTGTGAATGTGGGACAGTGTATGTATGGGGGGCAGTGTGTGGGGGGGGGTGTGTATGGGGGCAGTGTGTGGGGGAGGCAGTGTGTGTGTGGGGGGGGCAGTGTGTGTGTGGGGGCAGTGTATGTGTGTGGGGGGCAGTGTGTGGAGGGGCAGTGTATGTGTGCAGTGTATAGTGTGTATGGCAGTGTATATATGTGGGGCAGTGTATGTGTGTGTATGTGGGGGCAGTGTGTGTGTGGGGGGCAGTGTGTGTGTGGGGGGGCAGTGTAGTGTGGGGGGCAGTGTGTGTGGGGGGGCAGTGTGTGTGTGGGGGCAGTGTATATGTGTGGGGGCAGTGTATATGTGTGGGGGGGGCAGTATGTGTATACATACACTGCATGTAATTGCATGATGTCCTATTTGAAGATACTGGCGGTCTTCATAGTAATCACACTATTAATAGGCATTGTGTAATTCACCAATAAGGATTGCACAAGGAAAGTGTGGCAACAATTAGCAAGAAAATACTATAAATTGTTACGTGGCAACATTTATTTGTCTCACCATGTTGAAAAACTGTGTATAATGTTCGAACATTGGGAAATTTTCTGTGTGAGGGAAGGGCATTTTTTTATTTATTAGTACTATCTTTTTTTTCTTTTTAAATCAGGTGCCCCTAAGAATTTTGTGCCCTGTGGCCCTTCCTATGATATGCCACTATATAGATTTTTATTTTATTAGCATGCACTGACTGTCTCTGCATGACTATCCTGGTCTTAGTATAATTTCTTAGTAAAATGTATTTTAGCTTCTGGAACATCTGCTGGATTTATATGTATATGTATATATTTGTATATGTATATCCTATACTAAAGTGATTGAAGTTTTTGAAGTTTCACCAGCCTTGTTGAAAGGATTTTTGGGTTGGTGAATCAGCTATTTATGTGCAGGTAAGGCTACTGTTCAAACTTCAGTATGCTTGGCTGATCATTGTAAATTGGAAAGCAGGAAGGTTGCCAAAATGGTCAGATGTGGAAAGGGTGATGCAGAGAAACAGAATACTAGAAAGAGAGGGGTTTATACAGCTCCGAAGTATAGATGGGCCCTTTGGGATGACTATTGTGTATCCCTTGGACAAAATTCTTTATAGTCTTTTCTCCTCGTCAGCTCACGTCCCCATGGCACCTATGAACAATGCACAGTTGCAAGAAGAAGTATGTGAACCCTTTGGAATGATATGGATTTCTGCACAAATTGGTCATAAAATGTGATCTGATCATCATCTAAGTCACAACAATAGACAATCCCAGTCTGCATAAACTAATAACACACAAAGAATGAAATGTTGTCATGTTTTTATTGAGCACACCATGTAAACATTCACAGTGCAGGTGGAAAAAGTATGTGAATCTTTGGATTTAATAACTGGTTGAACCTCCTTTGGCAGCAATAACTTCAACCAAACGTTTCCTGTAGTTGCAGATCAGACATGCACAACGGTCAGGAGTAATTCTTGACCATTCCTCTTTACAGAACTGTTTCAGTTCAGCAATATTCTTAGGATGTCTGGTGTGAATCGCTTTCTTGAGGTCATGCCACAGCATCTCAATCGGGTTGAGGTCAGGACTCTGACTGGGCCACTTCAGAAGGTGTATTTTCTTCTGTTTAAGCCATTCTGTTAATTTACTTCTATGCTTTGGGTCATTGTCCTGTTGCAACACCCATCTTCTGTTGAGCTTCAGCTGGTAGACAGATGGCCTTAAGTTCTCCTGCAAAATGTCTTGATAAACTTGGGAATTCATTTTTCCTTCGATGATAGCAATCCGTCCAGGCCCTGACGCAGCAAAGCAGCGATGTGATATGTGTGTGTTTGTTAAACAGGGGTATTGAGGGTATTGAACAGAGTTATCCCCTCCTTCCGGGTTATCCATTACATGGCTTTCTGCATACCTCCTCACTCTTTTTCATACAGAGTGCCTCTATCTTCCGTATAGAAGATGCTCATATTTTATAGGGCCTCCCTCCCAGGATATGGAGGTAAACGATGACCAAGATGTGGCGCTGGAGCATGCCTTTTATATAGGACAATTGGGAGATTGGAGATAAGAGTTGGGTAGAAGGGGGAAGGGCACAAGTTATTACCTGTATTTTGGTTTATTAGTATAGTAAGATATTTTGTACTGTTAGATTGTTGTTTGTGTTTTTTGTAACTTGTGCCAAACCAATACCTATGTGAAGTGTGTTGTATGTAAATGATTTCTATGCATTTTGTGATAAATCTAATAAAAATGTATTTAAGTTATTTATTAAAAAAAAATCTTCAGTATGCTGATTATAATGATTTTGATAATTTCCTTTTCCTATACACAATACGGTATTGTATAGTTACATAGTTACATAGCTGAAAAGAGACTTGCGTCCATCAAGTTCAGCCTACCTCACATTTGTTTTTTGCTGTTGATCCAACAATTTGTTTTTTGCTGTAGATTTGTTTATTATTACTTTCCATTTGCAGATGATGAGGTTTGCATGGTACAGTTACAAGCAATATGCTTGGGGAGAGAATGAACTGCGCCCACTCACTAAAGATGGACATTTTGGGAGTCTGTTTGGTAAGTTCTTCTGATGTATTGGTGGACAGAAAAAAAGTTTCATTATTTACATGTATCCCACAAAGATCCCCACAGTCTATGTCCAAGTGTATATATTTTATAGGATAACTGAATGTTTGGTGTGCATGAGTGTATTACAGAGTTTCACAAAAATGTTACTTTCAGTAAAGTGTGGTGTGGATGGGTGTATGACAGTGCAAAGAAAACATGCAACTATGGACTGACAAGTAATTGCTCAATTACAACAGCATAGATTACTGTACCCTAAAAACATGCATAATGATAGGGCCAAAATACTACAAAATATTTAACATACTATAGTAATGTTTATCGAAATGATACCGATCTAAAAATATATGTGATGCAACCTCCTAAAGTACGTAAATGTTGTGAGAAAATGTGCCCCTCCCTATTTGCACCCTTTGGGATCACACACCTCTATGATACTGTGCAGAATTTCCTCCTTCTCATTTCAGATGATGGGGTTAGACGGTTTCTCCACCATTACACATGCCCATAAGAATTTATTTTCCATTTTATACCAGCTTGTTGCAGTCACATATTTAATTTGACTTTAAGTAAACCTCATATTTGTGCTGAACCTTCCACCTGTTTAGAGGCTTGTCTCCTCAAAGTTATGCCTGTGATTTGGAAAGAGAATTTTCTCATTAGTCATTACCTGTCTAACCAAAATTTAATTCACGGCATAGGTGAACTATGGCCTACTCATCTTATTCTCCTGACTGGCCTGTTTGACCCAGAGATCATTCCTGCTCACTTTTTCTGTGTGAGTATTCCTCCACCTTGCAGTCCTTTTGCAACCTCTATCCCTGGTTGCAGGATATCTGGTTTCTAGTGATAGCTGTGCTCCATAAATCTACACTATTTGGTCTATAAGCTCCACATTCTAACTCTTTCCAGACTTTTCTTCTCCCTACTGCCTGATATAATACCCTCCACTGTTCAACTCAATGTCCCTACTATATACATCATGCACAGATCTCCCAAGGCCCAGTAGCTACCACCAACCCCTTACGCTCACAAACTCAGAGTGTATTTACATTGTACTACTGACTGTACATGTTCAGGTGAGGCTGTTTTGAATCTCAGTTTAATCATGTCAAGTCTGGGAGGTAAGGTACTGTTTCCTAAAAAAAAAAAAAATGGTGTGAAGTGGTATGTACATGTAATATTTGAAAAAAAAATTTAATGTATTTGGTGTGTATTATTTCTACAATGTGCCAGTTTGCAAATGAATGCAGTTGTCTCCTACTAATGCACCTAAATTGTATGTATACTTCTGTTACTCTTATCTACTTTGTAGTCTTGCACCCTAGCTAATGGTTCCTGAACTGTCTATAAGTGCCAGTGGTCCAGTCCTTTTCAATATTCCCAAAATAATAAATTGGAAAAATGCTTAAATTCTGGACTGTAGGCATAGTAGTTAGAACCTCTTCTCTAGCTCATAGCACATTATAATATTGTCAATGTATACTGGTTTATCTGAGGTAGGGGTTATAGGTTTATTGCAGGTGGGCTTGTCAATTTGTTCCTACATTTAATTTTTGTTTATTTTTAATCAGCATTTTAGCCATTCATAGCCACTCGCAGGACTTGGGAAGTACTAAAATAACTGAACCTGGATATACTTTTTTCCGTCTAACAAATGCTAGCATGAATTATTTAGGCCCATCCAAACTGATAGACTGTTGCTGTGTGTGTAGTGGTTGAAACATTGAAACCACTAAGTTATCAATTTCCATAGCAGTAAATTGTTAAAAACTAGAGCACTGATTTTCTCAGTTCACAAAAAACCAAAGTTACTATTTTATACAGTTATTATTATTAGTATTTTGCTTCATATTTATGAATTAATCATATGCTGCTACTTTAATTTAAAGGTAAGAGGTGTGTGAGGCCTGTTATTGAGCCTTGATATGCATTCTCCACTAATCCTCCACAACTTACAGCTAGCTACACCACATGTATGTGTAATGTAGACATATTGTTTGGTTCCATTAGCTCTCTTCCATATCTACAGAACTTTGTCTTCTCCTAGTCCTAATTCCCTACAAATGAGGCTTCCTTTCAAGTTTTTTATTGAATCTACCTGATTAAAATATTATCATCCCCCCCAGAAACTAAAGTAGGCAAAGCTTTATTTTATTAATCATTAACACAATCTTTATCTGCACTCTGCTTTTAAATCAGCAGTGTGTCTGTCTGTAACTATTTGGCTTTTCTGTAGGTGGGTGTCGGTGTGTTTGCTAGACTTATCATATAGTATATCTATAATTCTATCTGCATTTCTGGTCACTGTTTTTTTTTTTTTGCTGGTCAGCCTTCATGCACGGTGCCTGTAAAAATAATAAAAGTAATAATAATAAAAAGTATTAAACCAGGAAAGGCACATTCAGATTACTCGGGTTTTCAAGTACGTCCTCGGGATGTTACCTTAGCCCAACATCCAGGGGGTTGTTACTATTACCCAATTTAATGGTACTCATTTTATCTACCTCGGAAGGATGAAGGGCTGAGTCAACCCTGCCGGTAAATGAGTACCATTAAATTGGGTAATAGTAACAACCCCTGGATATTGGGCTAAGGTAACATCCCCAGGACGTAATCTGAATGTGCTTTTCCTGGTTAAATACTTTGTTGTTATTATTATTTTTACAGACACCCGTGCGTGAAGGCTGACCAGCAAAGAAAAACATGACCCGAAAGGCAGATAGAATTATAAAACATGGGTATCACTTAGTCTGGCATTAAAGCATCAATGCTTGTTGATGTTAACGTTCAATGATTGCGTGTCAAATAGGGAACATTTGCTATTTTATCTGATTAACATTAATTTGGGTTTTTCAACTGCCAATATGTATGTCTGTATACCAGACTGAGTTGATGCTATATAGGGCTAGTTTTCCCATGCTATTAGCTACTATAACCAGTAATGTGTTTCTCAACAAAACACCCAAATAGTGGACTTGCTCTCATTCACATCTAATACCCTGGCAGTCCTAGGGAGGACATACCATTGTAGGGTTAGCCAGAGCTGGACATTCTGAAAATGCTGCCAATATTACGTAGATAGCAGGTTTATTTGCTATGTAAACGACCTTTAAAAAAATAATAATCTTAAAAGGTCACTGTAAGCACCATAAACACTTCAGTTCATTGCAATAGTTATGATGCAAAGTGCCATTACGTGCCTTCACCCTGGTTTGTGTCAAATCCTTTTACGTGGAGAGCAAGATACATATAAATGTACAGCCATTGTTTATGACAAACCACTGACCCAGTCTGGGGGAAGGCAAATACTCCTTCAACCATAACCACAATGAGATCTAGTGGTTACGGTGCTAGAGTGCTCCTTTAAATTTAAAAAATAAATATGTATGTATATGTACTGTATGTGTATATATATTTATTTATTTTATAGCAACAGTAATTAAAAAATGTCTGACATTACTGTGGAATACAAAGAGTAAGCTAATATTGCTTTGAGAGGGATTTTAGTGTCTTTATTGCAAGGGAGGGATTAAAAGTGCTTTATTGTTTTAATTCACAAATCGAAAACTTCAAGACAAGACTTTATATGCTAATATAATAATACAGAAGGGATTTAAAAATGTAAATAAAACAGCAGATAAAAAGCATTCCCTCTCCACTGTCATTTTAAAGCACATGTAGTAAAATGTTTATTTAAAGCGGCACTGTCATGACGAATCCTGTTTTTTTTTTAACCCCCCTCTGGCCTCCACTATCTCTAACTGACCTCCTAGTCACCCCCAAATGCCCCTAAGCCCCCACATTACCTATTTTTTATTCCTTATTTTCTGCCCAGATCTTGATTCAGGGCGCCGCCATCTTTGTGTGGGTAGATGAAGTCCCTGTGGGACACGTCATTTGCCCACACTAGATAGACTGTGAGATTCCCGCACATGCCCAGTGAAACACCTGGACATGCGAACGGGAATTTAATCTATTCATTCATTCATCAGACAGACGAATGAGTGAAAAGAAATATCAGCCGTACAAACAAACGCTATATATCAGTGTTCGTTTGTTCGTGCAGTTTATTACAAGGAGGGAGCTACCGGCAAGCAGCTCCCTCCTTGTAATATGTAAAGATAGAAGCGGCAGGGAGCAGTGCTCCCCACCACTTCCTAAACCCCCCAGGTCTTCCCTCACTCTATGAGGGTCAATATGACGCCCATAATAGCACAAGGGAGATTAAAATCTCCCCAATGCCCCTACTCGCTATACCGCAAGTAGGGGCATGTCCACTAAACAGTGAGCAGCCCGTGGCTGCTGTTTGGTAAGTTCTTCTGATGTATTGGTGGACAGAAAAAAAGTTTCATTATTTACATGTATCCCACAAAGATCCCCACAGTCTATGTCCAAGTGTATATATTTTATAGAAATAAAGCAAATATGTGCACAGTGTGGCAGACAGTTACTGTGAAACTCTATACACCTCAAAGTGGTATCCCCTTTACCACTTTAACAATCAACAATATACATACATAAATCGGGTGGAGCTTCTTAAAATAGTAGTATAACAGATATTCTGTAAAATAAAATATAGACCATAGTGCAATATAGTAGTAAAAATTCAATAAAATATGTATGCAGTAGATATTCCACTCACAAGCCTGGAGTCATAATCTCATATGACTCGGATGGTGTGTGCCTTTGGACTATTCCAGGATGTCCAAAATCCTTTTTTCATGCAAGATTCTGTTGGTGGTCACTCCCAAACAAAAATTGTCAGGTCAGCAATGGGTTTCCATAAAAATATAATTTTATTCCAAATCAAACTAAAAGAATTTTATAAAAATAAATAAAAGCTCAAATAGGGCTATATAGTCCTTTAAAGTCCTTATAGAATTGCCAAAACGCGTTTCGCCTGATGCCACAGGCTTCCTCAGTCGGCTTTGTGATCTTCTATTCAGTTTCTCGAATTTTAAAAAGTCCGCTTTTTTTCTCTTCCGGGTTCCGGGTTGTATCTCTATGGAACGCAATTATGCGTTCCAGTGACGTCACTTCCGGTTTCGTCACTTCCGGATCATATTTTTCGTCGACCTGGAACGCATTTGCTTCTCTTTTATCACTTCCGCGTTCCGGTCTCGGTCAGCTGGAACTGACGTCATCTCTCGGCATCTCTATTGTTTTTAAAAACGAACTGCACAATTTTCAACCAGTTTATGTATTTATCATAAATATATTTGTATATTGTTACTGGCACCATATATTGCATATATATATGTGTATTATTGAATTCTATATGTGTTGAAATTACTACTTTGCATGGTGTAAAAGTATTATACAAAGATAATTATTTTTCCAAATATCTTTAGCTTTTGAAAATGTCTATGCAATATACAAAACATATTGTCTGATAATGTTTCACAAAGAGAGCATGATGTCAATATATAAAAATATTCTTCCATTGTATAAGTGGTCTAAACTTTAAAGTGGTCATGTGTCTTAAAGTGCTGTTCTATATTTTTAAAAGTGCTCTTGTGATATTTCAAAATTAATGTTCAAATGAATACCATTTCAAAAACTTATAGAAATCTAAATAATATAAAATGTATAAAAATGAATTAATAAAAATTATTAAAAAATATATGTATATGAAATTTAATAGTATAGGGGAGCTTAGTTCATGAAATGGCATAGTTCAAAATCTTGGTTTAGACCATGTGGTGCCATAGTGTTAAAATTAAAAATAAATTTCATTTCTTCTATTCCTATTTTTTTAATATAGTCTCCTCCTCTCCAGTCTTTCTTCACTAATTTTACTGCACAGAAGAATAGTCCTTCTGGATCTTGGTTATGGAATATTTTAAAATGGTTGGAGACGCTATGTGACTCCAATCCATTTTTAATATTCCTCGTATGCTCTGCTATTCTCGTGTTTAGACATCTAATAGTTCTTCCTACATAAAGGAGATTACACTGGCACTTCAGGACATAAATAACTCCTTTAGAATAACAAGTTAGGTGGTCTCGAATTTGGAACTGTTGGTTTATCCATGGTTTCATGTCCGTTATGTGACGTTTCCTACTTTTAGTATTTCTGCACGCCAGACACTGGCCACAACCATAAAAACCTTTACTTTGTTTTAAAAAAATGTTTTCAACTAAAGTTTGTTTATCACTACTTTGTACTAAATTGCTTCTTAGATTCCTTGCTCCCCTATAAATAATCTTAGGCTTATCTGGCAAGATACTTTTTAGAACCGCGTCATCTTGCAAGATGTGCCAATATCTATTTATAATCTTTTTAACTTTTTTATGATTTCCACTAAAATTACAGACGAACGGAACATCGTTATTCCATTTTTGTTTCCCCTTTTTGTCTTTATATATCAGAAGATTTCTTCTGGGAATTGAACGGACTTCTTCTAGAGTTGTCTGTAAATCTATTTCTATATAACCTTTTTGTAGAAATTGGGTCTTTATTCTTTCTGCCTGTAGTAAATAGTCCTCATCATTCGTGCAGTTGCGCCTAATTCTTAAAAATTGTCCTCTAGGTGCATTTTGTAACCAGGGTGTATAGTGGCAGCTCTCTTTTTGAATGTATCCGTTTGCGTCCACTTCTTTGAAATGATTTTTCGTAGTGATACAAGTATTATTAATATTAATATCAAGATCTAGGAAGTTAATATTTTCTTCACTTATCTGTGCTGTTAAAACGATGTTCCATTCATTATTATTTAAAAAAGTGATAAAAATATCTAATTCTGTTCTAGTTCCCGTCCAAATGAAAAATATGTCATCAATGAAACGATGATAGCACACCAAGTCCGCTCCCCAGGCATGTCCTCCATACACAAAATTTTCTTCCCAATATGCCATAAACAAGTTCGCATAGCTGGGAGCGAACTTGGTGCCCATCGCCGTTCCCCGAATTTGTAAATAAAAGATATCTTGGAACCAAAAAAAATTATTGGTTAAAATCAAGTGGATCCCTTCTAAAATATATTGAGTCTGTTCTTCTTTAAAATTATGTTTTCTTAAAAAATATTGCACAGCTTCCAATCCAATTTTATGAGGTATGATGCTATAGAGGGAGGTTACGTCACACGTGACTAAAAAATTACCTTCTTTCCAAGTGGTCTCCTCTAAAAGTTTTAAAATATGTATAGTGTCTTTTAAGTAAGCAGGATTGCATACTACTAAAGGTTGTAACAATTTGTCCAGGTATTCAGATACCTTCGCTGAAACGGAGTCGATTCCAGATATTATTGGTCTACCGGGTGGATTTTTTCTATCTTTGTGCACCTTCGGTAGATGGTAATAAACTGGAGTTTTGGGGTGTGGGGTAGACAAATACTTTGCTTCATCTATAGTTAAAATTTCCTTTTCTAGACCTTTCTTGATATATTCATCAAATTTCTTTTTTATTTCCTCAATTGGATTCCTATCCAATTTTTGGTATGTAAGAGGGTCAGATAAAATTCGTTCAGCTTCTTGTACGTAACTAGACCTTGAAGATATAACGACCCCTCCCCCTTTATCTGCTGGTTTGATAACCATTTCCTTATATTTTACCTATATTTTATAGGATAACTGAATGTTTGGTGTGCATGAGTGTATTACAGAGTTTCACAAAAATGTTACTTTCAGTAAAGTGTGGTGTGGATGGATGTATGACAGTGCAAAGAAAACATGCAACTATGGACTGACAAGTAATTGCTCAATTACAACAGAAATAGATTACTGTACCCTAAAAACATGCATAATGATAGGGCCAAAATACTACAAAATATTTAACATACTATAGTAATGTTTATCGAAATGATACCGATCTAAAGGCTGCTCACTGTAAAAAAAAACAACAAAAAAAAAACTATTGGCCCCCACCCCTAAGCGACGGGTGGGGGCCCTAAAGTAAAATAAGGGGGGAGACCTAATGTCCCCCCCCCGGCCCCCACCCCTGCGCGGCGGGTGGGGGCCATAATGATAATGGGGGGGGACCTACTGGGCGGCGGGTGGGGGCCATAAAGATAATGAGGGGGGGACCTACTGTCCTCCCCCCACGCCCCCACCCCTGGGCGGCGGGTGGGGGCCAAATGATAATGGGGGGGGACCTACTGTCCACCCCCCCTCCGGACCCCACCCCTGGGCGGCGGGTGGGGGCAATAAAGATAATGAGGGGGGAACCTACTGTCCTCCACCACCGCCCCCACCCCTGGGCGGCGGGTGGGGGCCAGATGATAATGAGGGGGGGGACCTACTGTCCACCCCCCCTCCGGCCTCCACCCCTGGGGGCCATAAAGATAATGAGGGGGGGACCTACTGTCCTCCCCCCCGGCCCACATCCCTGGGCGGCGGGTGGGGGCCATAAAGATAATGGGGGGGGGACCTACACCCGACGCCCAGGGGTGGGGGCCCTAAGTCAATTGCCCCCCCCCAAGGTGACTAGGGGTCCCCAAGCCCCTAGTCAACCAACCCCCCAACCCAAATAAAAAGTCCCTACCTACCCCACTCACCCTAAAAAATAGTGAGGGGGGAATAAAATAACTAACCTGTAAAATAAAATTAAACTTACCATTCGACGTCTTCTTTTTTCTCAAATCTTCATTTTTCAGCCCCAAAAAAGGCCAAATAAAAAACCATCATAACCGTCGAACTTAAAATAAAATAAAAATCCAGAGCGCAAAAAAAAAAAACAGATGAAAAAGAAAAAACCCGAGCGCAAAAAAATTATCCATCTTCACCCATGGAGGGCTTCGCGCAGACTGAGCTCCGCAGGGCGGGGGAAGGCTTATAAAGCCTTGCCCCGCCCTGCAATTAGGCTAAGAACACTCTGATTGGTGGGTTTAAGCCAATCAGAGTGCTCTTTGTCATTTTACACAGCGTGGGAAAATTCAAAAGAATTTTCCCACCTGTGTAAAATGACACAGAGCACTGTGATTGGATGGCTTGAAATCCATCCAATCACAGTGGTCTGTGTCATTTTACACAGCGTGGGAAAATTCAAAAGAACTTTCCCACGCTGTGTAAAATGACACAGAGCACTGTGATTGGATGGCTTGAAGTTCTTTTGAATTTTCCCACGCTGTGTAAAATGACACAGAGCACTGTGATGGGATGGATTTCAAGCCATCCTATCACGGTGCTCTGTGTCATTTTACACAGCGTGGGAAAGTTCTTTTGAATTTTCCACGCTGTGTAAAATGACACAGAGCACCGTGATTGGGTGGATTTCAAGCCATCCAATCACAGTGCCCTGTGTCATTTTACACAGCGTGGGAAAATTCAAAAGAACTTTCCCACGCTGTGTAAAATGACACAGAGCACTGTGATTAGATGGATGTCAAGCCATCCAATCACAGTGCTCTGTGTCATTTTACACAGGTGGGTAAATTCTTTTGAATTTTACCACGCTGTGTAAACTGACAAAGAGCACTGTGATTGGATGGATTTCAAGCCATCCAATCACAGCGCTCTGTGTCATTTTACACAGTGTGGGAAAGTTCCCCCCCCGTCCCCCACCCCTGCGCAGTGGGTGGGGGTCATAATGATAATGGGGGTGACCTACTGCCCCCCCCTGGCCCCCACCCCTGGGTGGCGGGTGGGGGCCGGGTGGGGGCAGTAGGTCCCCCCCCATTATCATTATAACCCCCACCCACCGCGCAGGGGTGGGGGCTGGGAGGGACATTAGGTCTCCCCCCTTATTTTACTTTAGGGCCCCCACCCATTGTTTAGGGGTGGGGGCCAATAGTTTTTTGTTTGTTTTTTACTTTACAGTGAGCAGCCACAGGCTGCTCACTGCTTACTAGACATGACCCTACTCGCGGTATAGCGAGTAGGGGCAGCATTTACTAATACTAAGTAATTTTTTCTTAGTATTTGTAAAGTTGGCTGAAAGACCAATTTAGGTCTTTCAGACTTTTAGTAGATAACTCCCTGATACCGTGGGAATTAGGGAGTTATCTACTAAGCAGCTTCAAGGTGCAGCCACAGCACTAAAACGATCAGAGTTTCATTCATTCAAATGAAATTGCGATCCGAACAAAATGACGAATTGAGTTCTAAAAGAAACGAACATACTGTTCTCATTGAGTTAGAATGCAATTCGGCAGTTTTGTGTAAAATGACAGGAAGCATCGCGGGAACACAGAGGAAAGGTGAGAATTGTGGGAAAATTGCGCTGGTCAAAGCTGGTCAAGCGGAGGAATCCTCCATAAGGCAAAGAGTCCCTACTTTGTCTAATGATTTTAAAGAAAACTAAAGAAGACAGGAAGAAAAGAAGAACAGATCCTGAGAGAGGGGGAGAAGAGGAAGAGATTGAGGAAAGGTAAGTTCGGCATGACAGTGCCACTTTAAGAGCTTCTGAGATATCTGATAAATTTTCATTTTGTAAATTAAATCAAAGGGTTTTTTTGCATTTTTTTTATTTTTACACACTATGCACTGCAAATCACAGTTTAGACTGCTCAGTGTATTCAGAAAGTATGCATACATTGATCACAGCTTGGTGAAGAGGTGTGCCTTCTCATTAAACCAAACTGGCATCCAGCAAGCTAGGCCATAGATAATGCTCTATGGATAATGCTCTATGGGTAGTACTGGATTGCACCAACGATCATCTATCACAGTGTTTCCAAACCTTTTTTCTCTTGAGTATCCCTGGGCAGTCCATTTCCATAAATTGTACCCCTTATATTAGCAAAATATTTGTAATTATTATAGTTGCTGTTATTTCAAATGTAAATGCTTTTCTCTGTCCCATCTCCCCTTTTTCTCTGTTCCAGGCTCCTCACAGTGCAGATACACACATGTGGACACACAAACAACAGACTGACACATGTGCAGATACACAGATACAAATTCTGACACACACACAGATACAAACACTGACATACATACAGATGTTGTCAGCGCTTATAGATAATCCCCTTGAATTTGGTTCGGGGTATACACATTTACCAATGTATCTGCAACAATTAGAAACAACTATGTGATACAAAATCTAGCATAAAAAGTGTCAATGTTGCTGATTATAAAACCAAACAAAGAAAAAAATTATTATAATATCACAATCCAGTACATATGATATTATAGCAGGTTCCAAACTGTGGGGAAGTCCATAAAGTTGTTGAAAACACAGACTGGTGCTGGAGATCCCTTAAAAAAAGACAGAAAATAAACATAGTATAATACTGTATTTAATGTCTTAACATAAAAAGGGAATACCCCTCCCCAACATAGAAACCCTTACAAGAAATAGATGTGGTGCTTATTTCTAAGGACCACGTAAAAGCTTATCTGGTTGCAATCTCTTCTATATCCCAAATGTGCCGTCCGGTTTGCAGATGGAGACAGCGTTTGTCTCGTGCACTGAGGCAGGCTGGATGCTCTGTAAAGTCCTCCCTTCCGCAGATGTAACCTCGGCTGGCACAGGAGACTAGACGTATTGACAATCTCACCAGATGAAAAAAGATAAAAATAAACTCCTCATCAGCGCGTTTCGCCCTTCTTGTGTGGGCTTTTTCTTGATATATGTCTATATATCTTATATATATATGTCATACTAAGTGTATTTTTATATTAATATATATATATTAATATAAAAATACACTTATAATTAAATTACACACGTATATGTATAATATATATATATAATAACTATATATATTGTATATATATTATTATTATTATAAAATACAAATAATAAGTAAATTAAAATAAATTAAAAAACTTTAAAATAATTTAAATTTTTTAAAATTATATATATATATATATATATATATATATATATGAAATTTTATTCTAACTGTATTTTGATATTTATATATATATATATATTTATATCAAAATATACTTAGAATGAAATTATGTATACATATATGTATATATAAATAAATCTAAATAATACCAAATATATATATATATATATATATATATATATATCCATCTACAAAATTACATAAATAATTTAATTAATATACACGTAGACTTCAAATATATAAACATGCATATATATTTAAATTCTACGTGCCTATTTATGTAATATTTTTACATAATTAAGTAATTTTATTGATTGCAGTTTGAGGGACCTGCCTGACAACCCAGACCGAAAGTCCGGAGAATTAAATTGCTAGCACTGTATTTAACCCTGTAACTTTCTATGACACCCTAAAACCTGTATATGGGGGGGTACTGTTTTACTCGGGAGACTTCGCTGAACACAAATATTAGTGTTTCAAAACAGTAAAACATATCACAGTGATGATATTGTCAGTGAAAGTGACTTTTTTTGCATTTTTCACACACAAACGGCACTTTCACTGATGATATAATTGTAGTGATACATTTTACTGTTTTGAAACACTAATATTTGTGTACAGCAAAGTCTCCCGAGTACAACAGTACGCCCCCATGTACAGGTTTTATAGAGTTTTGAAAGTTACAGGGTCAAATATCTTTACATTGAAAATTGCCAGGTTGGCTATGTTGCCTTTGAGAGCGTATGGTAGGCCAGGAATGAGAATTACCCCAATGATGGCATACCATTTGAAAAAGAAGACAACCCAAGGTATTGCAAATGGGGTATGTTCAGTGTTTTTTAGTAGCCACTTAGTCAAAAACACTGGCCAGAGTTAGCGTTCATGATTGTTTTTTGCTTTTTTAACACACAAACAAATATAAATTTATTTATTTATAAAATATTTTACCAGGAAAGATACATTGAGATTTCTCTCGTTTTCAAGTATGTCCTGGGTCCACAAATCATTGCATTCTTACATTAGGGTACAATAAAATACAAAACCAATATTAATACACAATAAATACAAAATTTAACATAGAACAGGTAGAACAGGATAAATGCTAACTTTGGCCATTGTTTGTGACTAAGTGGCTACTAAAAAGGACTGGACATACCCCATTTTGAATAACCTGGGTTGTCTACTTTAAAAAAATATGTACATGTGAGGTGTAATTCAGAGATTTATGACAGATAACAGTGTTACAATGTTTCCTATTTGTACTTATAGCCCTATAACTTGCAAAAAAGCACATAAACATTCGGTGTTTTTAAACTCAGGACCAAATTTTGAATCTATTTAGCAATTCTTTTCATTAGCTTTCGTGGGTAAGGAAAAGGTTTTTCAAGCAAAAGTAAAAAAACATGTTTTTTTTTCAATTTTTCACCATATTTTATTTTATTTTTTTTAAAGTAAATTATATGACATGATACAAATAATGGTATGTAAAGAAAGCCTTTTTTTGTCCTGAAAAAAACAATATATAACTTGTATGGGAACAGTAAATGAGAGAGAGGAAAATTACAGCTAAACACAAACACCACAAAGTGTTGAAACAGCCCTGGTCCTTAACGAACAACATGGCCAAAACAATCCGGTCCTGAAGGGGTTCTGGGTGATCAAGGTATGGGTACTGAAACAAAAAAATAAATGTAAACATGACTTTCCATGACACTCAATATTATCTGAATCCTGAGTTGCTTTTTTCCAAACCGTTTGGTAGAGAAGGGGTGAAGATTCATAACAATAGAGTGTGTAGAAGCCAAAAGAACCACCTGAAATACTATGAAGGTATCTCACAGGCTACCGTACAAGAATTCTGTATTTGCTTGGTTAAGGATGTGAACAGACAGAAAGAGTTCCCAAGTTAGAGAGCAGTTAACATATATTAGAGTAGAACTGATAAGAGCATAGAAGTTTTTTTATTATTGTTTTAAAAAGGACCTGGGTGACATATATGCCAAGTATGGAACACTAACATTAAAATAAAGATATATTTTTTATTGTTGGAGTGTTCCTTTAAAGGGTTACTCCAAGCACCATGACCACTCCAGTGATTTGAAGTGCTCATAGTGCCTGGAGTCTGTATGTGTGCAGTGTTACAGTATGAGATGCTGCACATATGAAGTTTAACCCTTCTGCTGCAGATGGCACCTCCTGCAATGTCATTAGGGGGTCATCAGCCAGGCCGGAACTGGCTAATGTCAATTCTTTGCAAATTTCATTGCAGTAAATGCCAGTCCTTGACTTGAGAGAGGTCAGATGACATGTGTTTGGAGCCTGCTTGTGTAGAGTGAGCTGATTGTGGTGTGGTATTGTGTAAATAGGTCGATTTCATTAGTGTTTGTGGTGTGATATGTGTGGCTAGGGGCTGTTGAGAATGTGTGTATAGGGGGCATAGTGTCTACATGGAACGTAGCAAGTGTGTGCATACGGCTGTAGTGTGTGTGTGTGTGTGTAAGTGATGTAGTGTGTGTAGGGGCTGTAGAGAGCATGTGTTTAGAGAATGTAGTATGTGTTTGCTTACAAGGAATGTAGTGTGTGCATAGGGGATCCAAAGTTTGTATGTCAGGAATGTAGTGTGTGTAGGTGGTGCAGTGTGTGTGTGTGTAGGGGATCCAGTGTGTGAGGGTGCTGTGAGTGTCGTGTGTGTGTGAGGGTGTTGTGAATGAATCTGAGGGTGCTGTGTGTGTGAGGGTGCTGTAAGTACGTGAGAGAGTGCTGTGAGTGTCAGGTTGCAGTGTGTGTGTGTGTAAGAGTGTTGCGTATGTGAGTTCTGTGAGTGTTAAGGGGGATGTGTGTGTGTGTGTGTGTGTGAGGGTGCTGTGAGAGTCCTGTGTGTGTGAGGGTGCTGTGTGTGTCTGAGGGTGCTGTGAGTGTGAGGATGTTGTGTGTGTGTGTGTGTATGTGTGAGGGTGCTGTGTGTGTCTGAGGGTGTTGTGTGTGTGGGCTGTGTGAGGGTGCTGTGTGTGTGTAAGGGGGGGGCTGAGTGTCTGAAGGTACTGTGAGTGTGTTTGAGGGTGTTGTGTGCATGAGAGTGCCGTGAATGTGTTTTGAGGGTGCTGTGACTGTGAGAGCGCTGTGTATGTGAGGATGCTGTGTGTGTGTGTGCTGTGAGTGTCCTGTGTGTGAGGGTGTTGTGTGAGTGTGCTGTATGTGAATATGTTTGGAGGGACTGTGTGTGTGGGGGGAGACAAATTAAAGGACCACAATAGTGCCAGGAAAACATACTCGTTTTCCTGGCACTATAGTGCCCTGAGGGTGGGGGCACTCCTGCCGGGCTGGATGGCAAGGAAAGGGTTAAATCTTACCTTTTTTTCCAGCGCCGGGCGGGGCGCTCTCCTCCTCTCCGCCTCCTCTCCTCCTCTTCGGCTGAATGCTCACGCGCGGCAGGAGCTGAGCGCGCATTCAGCCAGTCTCATAGGAAAGCATTCACAATGCTTTCCTATGGACGCTGTTGTCTTCTCACTGTGATTTTCACAGTGAGAAGCACGCAAACGCCTCTAGCGGCTGTCAATGACACAGCCACTACAGGCTTTAGAGGCTGGATTAACCCATTTATAAACATAGCAGTTTCTCTGAAACTGCTATGTTTATAGAAGAAAGGGTTAATCCTAGAGGGACCTGGCACCCAGACCACTTCATTAAGCTGAAGTGGTCTGCGTGCCTAGAGTGGTCCTTTAATTTAAATATATTAAATATGTATTATTAATAAAGTACAAACTTGATATCCTCCCTTCTTACCTTTTGATTAGGAGGGGAGACTGTGCAGCCATGCCTGGCGGTTCTAGTGGTGAGTGAACTCTAGCCTTGCGAGATCCGAGCGTTGTATGGTAACCACGGCAACGCTCCGACCTCACAAGAGGAACCTGGCCTCTCCCCCAGCCTCGCGGCCACATGTCAGTGCCTGTGGGCCGGTGAGGGAGATCTTTGATCTCCCAACCGGCCCATGAAAGCACATAGCAGGGCCAGCACTCCCCTGCCGGCCTCGGCCCATGGTCATCGGAGCCCACCGGGCATTTACCCGGCATGCCCGATGGCCAGTCCGTGCCTGATGCAAACACACCACTGCAATCTAACACAAACATTACATACAAACAAATCCATTTGCTTAAACTCCAAAACTATTTACAAACACACCCTTTCACTCAAACACCAACACTACACACAAAAACATACCTGTTTTCAAACGCATACACAACACACAAGTATACTGCTGCATTCCAATGGCAACAGTACATACAAATACACCCCTACATGCACAGACATACTCTATACAAAAACATGTTTACATTGAAATGCAGAAACACTGCTCAAAAATACAACCCTGCAAGGATGGGCAAATGTTAGATCTCTAGCTGGCATAGAATCATGGTGAGTTGTATGACAGATGGGGATCTATATTTTTGCCACTCTTGTGCTAGAGTGGGGCCAAAAAAGATTCTTGCACCAGGGCCCTCTTTAGATTAGTCCTGCCACTGCTATGTACTAAGTAACACCTGGAACTTGATGAATTCCATTGATCCTTATAGCTTCTGAATGCACATGCAATATATTCATTTAAGGTTTTATATTGTTTTTTGTTTTAAATAAAAACGCTCATAGATAACTAAGAGGCTATTTGGTATCATAAATTTTGCAGAGATTCTAAATCAAATAATGGAAGCAAACCCATTCTATATAGACAATATATACTTATGTGTTTCTCCCATTTTGTGTACGAGTGCAAAGGTTTCTTGCAAACTCCAATGCTCAACATCTGTGTTATCACCTATAACTTGCACCCTCTTCTATCTAAACTAGACAGTATGTTCTTAGAAAAATAAACTGCAACTTACTTTGTGCAATTTAGGTCATCATAACCCAAAATAATAAAATATCTATGTAACAGGAGGACTTAAAGGAGCGACTATAGTAGATGCCTTGGACACACTTTATATCATGGATTTGAAGGAAGAATTTGAGGATGCTGAGATATGGATAAAGAACAGTCTGGATTTGAATGTGGTAAGATATCTAGCCTATACAAGCAATGAGCATATATTTCTAAAATATATATATATATATTACATTATATTAGACAAAATTTCTTGGTCACTTTGCACAAGCTAAAGGGACTCCTCAACACCGCAATATAAGCGGGCCTGTAACGGATCGACTGGCACCCCGACTGGGTATTTCCGTTAAAGGATGCTCCTAGCGCTTCCTGAGGACTCCAAGCACTGCAGCAGACACCACAATCACCGAACCAGAGAAGCGTATACCTTCTCTCAAGCATAAGAATGCTGTAGACAGTTGAATAGGAACCATACGAATAGGTTTGCTCTCCTAGCAGTCAAACTGGAACAGCATACAATAAATCCTTCCCCCAATAATGAGACGACACTTCACTTTGAGGGTTAAAACAGGAACTCCCTGTACTGTCACATACAGTCACTTTTATTCCCATTCCACAAACATAGTACAGCCCACAGGGCGTTACAAAACAACCAATCAATCCGTACAATACACCCAGACACTCCCACACAAAATCCTCCCCTCTGCAGGTGATATGATTACTGAACACAATGGGTAATCTCATTATCACCGGCAGAGGAATACAGTTTTTACACAATATTTATAACTTCTAAAATATACATGTCACAAACATAAAACATACATTTTCATAATCAATCCATTCAGGGGAACAACATATTAAAAAATGGCACGAATCAGACCAGGGGTTCAAAAGTTAAGGGAAAGTCCTTTGTGACTAAATGAAGCATGGCTTTCTGGCCCAAACCAGTTTCAGAGTCTTCTATCCTGGAGATTGAATTGAGAAGTAATTCAATTATCTCCCAGGACAGACACAAGACTCCATTAAGCACATGGTTGCAAAAAGACATAAAACACTTTAAAATACATAAAGTCACCTTTTACACATAACACACAGACATTTCACATATCCCCAGATAGCTGGGATCTGAGCGCACAAAACTACTGAAGAGCGCTCAGATCCTATTCACACAGTTCAATTGCCATGGAGCCGAAGTCTTTAACTACACGAATGGGCTCCATGGCATAGCTATCTGGGTTAACACATTCACATAAAGTCTGGTCCATAGTCCAAAGGCAAGAGGCGGGCAAGCAGCCCCCTCCAAGGACACGTGGCGAGGCCGGTTTCGCCACATTTCTCCCCTTTACCATCCAAACTAACAGGGTATCTGACCTCCTGCCGGTCAGTGCCCTGGTTAGTCCAGCAACCCACCCACGAAGCACAAACAGCAATACAGCCCACCCACAATAACTGGTTACTACACCTGGATAAAATAGCAACTTGTCCATGTCCAGGTGCCTCACCACGGCTGTGCGGGGGGCTGGTAGACTGCCTTGGTGGGTTGCTGAGTGGGCAGAGACCAGCGGTACTCTGCCCGGGTGCCAGCGCTACCACTGAAGTAGCCTGGTTGGAGCCTGGTTGTGGGAGGGGGAGACCGACTGTCTCCCCTCTGGATACACTGCTCTGTGGCTGGGGGACAGGACCGACCGTCCCTACCCCTGGTGCTGCAAGTGCAGAGACTACAGTCCCATCTGCATAGTTGTGGGGCTTAACATCTCCCCTTGGTGGGTTAGGCTGCAGCTGGAGAGAGGGTGTAACAAGCTCCTCTCTCTGAACTGTAGACTGCCGCTGGGGAGAGGGGGTAACCTGCTCCTCTCCCTGACACTCTCTTTGCTGGTGGAGAGGGGGACCAACTGTGTCCCCTTTCAATATTTTGTCCTGTGGCTGGGGTGCGAGACAGACGGTCTCTGCTTCCTGGGGTACACACTGCCGCTGGGGAGGAAGGACGGCACCTTCAGCTCCCTGGGGTACACACTGCCGCTGGGGAGGAAGGACGGCACCTTCAGCTCCCTGGGGTACACACTGCCGCTGGGGAGGAAGGATGCCACCTTCTGCTCCCTGGGATACACACTGCCACTGGGGAGGAAGGACGACCCCTTCGGCTCCCTGGGACTCACACTGCCGCTGGAGATCTGGGCCGACCGCCCAGCATCCCTGTAGGGCCGGTAGAGAGACCGCCGTCCCATCTCCACCTGCCATCTGTGGGTCTTCCCAGGACCAGTCTGTGAGGTCCCTCAACATTTGCGAGTAAGGACCACCTGCTTCCGCACCTGGCAACTCCGGCTGCTGCTGGGGATCTGGGCCGGTCCCATCTCCACCTGCCTGTTGTGGTTCCTCACAGGACCAGTCTATGAGGACCCCTACTTCGGGTTCCTGCGGCCGCCTCAGGGGGAGACGGCTAGCCTCCTCGGATGCAGCCTCTACTCGGCTGCTGTAACACTCCTTCCGCTGAGCATACTCTCTCTCTTTCGCCAGCTGGAATTCTCGGGCCAGCCTTGTGTTTCGCTCGGCCGTGACCTGGTTCCAGATCACCCGGCGTACCTCCATGGGTAAATCATCCCCATACTGGGCCACTCGCTGCCTCACCTCGGCCATCCAATCATCGCCAGAGCATTCCATACTTGTCTGCTCCAAGTCGCTGGATACCTCTGCTCCCAGGGGCGCTGCACGTGTGCTAGCGTTGCCCTCAATTTGTAACTCCAAACGAACTGTGTCTCTGAGCTGCTTTACCTCGCACTAGGACGCCATCCCACCGCTTGCCACCAATGTAACGGATCGCCTGGCACCCCGACTGGGTACCTCCGTTGAAAGATGCTCCTAGCGCTTCCTGAGGACTCCAAGCACTGCAGCAGACACCACAATCACCGAACCAGAGAAGCGTATACCTTCTCTCAAGCATATGAATGCTGTAGACAGTTGAATAGGAACCATACGAATAGGTTTACTCTCCTAGCAGTCAAACTGGAACAGCATACAATAAATCCTTCCCCCAATAATGAGACGACACTTCACTTTGAGGGTTAAAACAGGAACTCCCTGTACTGTCACATACAGTCTCTTTTATTCCCATTCCACAAACATAGTACAGCCCACAGGGCGTTACAAAACAACCAATCAATCCGTACAATACACCCAGACACTCCCACACAAAATCCTCCCCTCTGCAGGTGATATGATTACTGAACACAATGGGTAATCTCATTATCACCGGCAGAGGAATACAGTTTTTACACAATATTTATAACTTCTAAAATATACATGTCACAAACATAAAACATACATTTTCATAATCAATCCATTCAGGGCAACAACATATTAAAAAATGGCACGAATCAGACCAGGGGTTCAAAAGTTAAGGGAAAGTCCTTTGTGACTAAATGAAGCATGGCTTTCTGGCCCAAACCAGTTTCAGAGTCTTCTATCCTGGAGAGTAATTCAATTATCTCCCAGGACAGACACAAGACTCCATTAAGCACATGGTTGCAAAAAGACACAAAACACTTTAAAATACATAAAGTAACCTTTTCACATAACACACAGACATTTCACATATCCCCAGATAGCTGGGATCTGAGCGCACAAAACTACTGAAGAGCGCTCAGATCCTATTCACACAGTTCAATTGCTATGGAGCCGAAGTCTTTAACTACACAAATGGGCTCCATGGCATAGCTATCTGGGTTAACACATTCTCATAAAGTCTGGTCCATAGTCCAAAGGCAAGAGGCGGGCAAGCAGCCCCCTCCAAGGACACGTGGCGAGGCCGGTTTCGCCACAGGGCCTTATTAAAATAAACATTTAGTACAAGTCTGGATTCTATACCCAGCGTAACGGTTCACTCTGCTTACTAAGTAGCAATTTTTCCAATGGAGGAATTGCTATTCAATAAGCAATTTCAACCCTTATACTGAGAAAGGCTGTCCATAATGTCTCCTAAATGCAATATTTTTATGGCATGGAATAGTTCTTTGGAATTGTAGCAACAATTTAAAAATAAGTGATCAGTATTCTTTTTATCTTTTAACAGAACACCACAAAATCATTGTCACTTCTCGACTATATTTGAGCAAAGGCTTCTTAAAATAAGAAAAGTTGGTTAATATGAACATAGAAACATAATTCATCATCAGTTTCTTACTATATATTGGCTCTAAGTGTTTATGTTTAACTTTTCTTTTTTTCTCTCCAGTTGGCACTCTTACTGCTAATTTAATTACACAGCTTGGCAATAATGGTATTCTGCTAGTTCTACTAGCTCTTTCTACTTACTATACTTTATGTGGCTTTCTTCTCTAACTTAGAGAATCTGTCTGTATACTCTTTTTTTGGGGGTGGGGGGAAACAGTATAATTTTAACTAGTTTTTGTAGGGGCTCCTGTCTCGCTGTGATAATTCTACTATCTGTATGTACTATCCAAATATTGAATCTCACAATATATTTCCTGCAGGTACTGATTTTAATTAGCGTCCATGGTTGATAAAACTAGTACAACAGAGTTGTGATATAACAATATCTATACCCTAGACTAGGGGTAGGCAACCTTTTAGCAGCACTGTGCCGATATAGGATTGTGATGTCCCGTAGCGTGCCGGTCCTATTTTTTTTTTTTAAATTGAGGTGTGTATGCTGCCGTATTCTGCTTGTGTTATTTATACTGTAATTGCTTTGTATCATTGTATTTGTGTGTATATGAGCTATTATATTGTATATGTTCATGAGTAGATTGTGGGACCATTCATACATATGAATGTGGGCTGTGTATGGGGCAGCTTGTGGAATTGTGTGTGTGGATGGATATGTCACATTATGTGTTTAGTAGTGTGTATATGTGTGGGGGCTGTTTGGGGTATTGCATGTGAGAGGCTGCATGTGGGGTTGTGTGCATGTATGTGGATTGTTAGTGGTGTTGCGTTTGTGTGGATTGTGTGTATGTTTGTGCAGATTGTGTGTGTGTATGTTTGTGTGTGGGCTGTCCGTATTATTTGTATGAGGGGAGGGTCTTTCTGCATTTCTGTGTATATCTAGCAGTGTGGGTGGCTTCTCTGGGTTCCAGTGGGGACCATGTTGGCCAGGTACAGGTCAAGGACCGGAGCTGCAACAACAACTGCGAGCTGCTCTACTACTGTGTGGCTTCCCATTCACAAGTGCTGGAATGAAGTGCTCTTAGATCACTTCCTCTATGTGCTGCAATGCATAAATTGAGGATTGTCCTTCACCACCTCTTCGTATTAGCAGATATCTGAAGTTTTACTGGGACTCCTGATAGGCCAGAGCCTGTTTGGCTCTAGCAGCCTTGAGTGCCGTGCAAAGGCACCTCGAGTGCTGTGCATGGCACTAGTGCCGTAGGTTGCCTACCCCTGCCCTAGACCCTGTGTCATACTTAAAACTAGCAAACAATAAATGTATCTGTCCAAGAGAAATAGTTTAATATTATTACATCTTGTCTGATAAAATACCACTCACAGAGGCAGTCTGCTATAAAGGCAATATGTCCCACCATGTAAACCTAGCCTGAATATATTATTGAAATATAACAGCAAACTTTCATTCAATAGTTTTTTTTACAAAAATTACAAAGATTGTGCTTTAAGTCAAATATTTTTTTCATATATTTGTACAGACAAAATTGTAACAAAGAACCAGTAAAGTTGCCTTTTTACTCTCTTAAATAAAAGATCAATATTCCAAGAGGTAGAAAGGTGATTTCAGAGTATCACTCATACAAATCCCCAGCAGTTACAGGTCTAATGTATAATTTATGCAAGTCATTAAAGCTGTCATGATCTGCCGATTATTCATTCATAACTCTGGCAGTGACTGATGCTTCATATTTTTCAATGAGAGCAGGAGAGCTGAGAAGCACTGAATAACATTGATAAAGAGTAGAAGTACAAAGCAGGTCTTTGCCTCATTACTCACAGAATTGTAGCAGAAAAGCTCTGCATGAGATTTGCTTGGAACATGTGAGCTGAAAGGCTCTGCATTTTATTTGTGAAAGCATAACTGCTTAAATCGCAGTAAAACCTTATAACAAATAAACCTTACCTTAAAAAAGTAATATTAGTGACAATCAGGGTTATTCACTAAAGGGAGAATTAACATTTACGTGAATTTCATATTTAAGGTCAAAATAGCCAAACTGGAAACACTCTCTAAGCCAGCTATGCTTCATGTTCAGCAACTCTGACTCTTATAGTCACCAAAACAATTTTTGCTTATTGAAGCAGTTTTTGTGTATAGATTATGCCCCTGCAATCACGCTGCTTAATTCTCTGCCTTTTAAGAGTTAAATCACTTATTTTCTGTCCATGCAGCCCTAGTCACACCTCCCCAGGCTGTGACTGACACAAACTATTAACTGAACAGTAGATATAAAATTATAAATGATTCAGAATTTACTATAAAGGAAGTATAAACATCCGATCACTCTTTACAGGAAGAGTTTAGGAAGGCTGTGTAGGTCACATGCAGGGAGGTGGGACTAGGGTTGTTTAAACAAAGTGATTTAACTCATAAATGGCAGAGAACTGAGAGGTTAAATTACAGGGGCATGATCTATAAAACAAAACCACAAACGAAAGTTGTTTTGGTGACTATGGTGTCCTATAGTTTTTTTTTGTGTATGACACATGCTTCTGAAGTTTCACTGCTCAATTCTCTGCCATTTAGGAGATAAATCACTATGTTTCTGTTTATGCAGCCCTAACCATACCTCCCCTGGCTGTGACTGTCACAGTCTACATGAAAACAAAATGCGTTCACTTTCAATCAGATGTAACTTTTTAAAATGTTTTATCTCCTGCTCTGTAAATTGAACTTTAATCACACACAAGGTCTAGCAAGCAATTAATAGAGCAGGAGGTAAGAAATTATAAATTAGCCCTTTAAGGACAGTGGGCGTTCTATGCCATCCTTGGGGACCCGGCTCTATGTACTTACCCAGTCGCCGGCGATCAAGGTGGGGGGACTCACCTGCCATCCCAGGGAGTCCTCCTGCTGCCGTTCTTGCCCCCTAGGCCATGTGATCGCGAGGTCCTTGCGAGCAGGGGGACTGCCTGGAATGACAGGTAGTCCCCCTGCTGGCTGTAAAATGAATACATTAGATTAAAATAGATTAAAACAGTGTAAAATTAAATAATATATACTTAGATCATATATATATATATATATATAATCAAAGTATATATATAAATTTACACATACACACACATACACTGTCTAAGTGTATTTTAATATTAATATATATATAATTAAATATATATTAATATCAAAATACACATAGAATGATCTTGATTAAATATATATATATAATTATATATCTATTTATATAAAATATAATATAAATATATATGTACATATGTTATTTATGTAATATATAGTCAAATATAAGGCTTACGTTTCAGTTTTTCCACATTGAAACTCGCCAGATTGTAATGGAGCTTCCTGTACCCCGGTTGGGTACCTCCGCCGACGGATGCTCTAGTGCTCACCGAGGCCTACAAGCACTCCACCAGACACCATCAGCACTGCAGTCCCCACGTCCAGCATTACAGCTTGGCTGGGACTCGCCGTCCTCACCCACCCTGGACACAAGACCAGGATCCAGATTCCAATGGGGGAACCTCTCTTCCTCCAGAGAGTCAAGCAGGAACAGCTCTTAAAAGAGCTTAGTGATTATAATCCCTGGGGAGTATAGCGATATAGCAATCCCCAGGGTAAATGCAGCCTTTTCCCCCACACATGAGACAACACTCCATGTTGAGGGTAAAACAGGAACTCAAGGTTTAATGGGGCACACAGGCCTTTTATACAAGTTTCCCAACAAGGGCGCCACCCAGGTGGAGCTTGTTGGGCACAGGGACAGAAGAACAACTAACCAATAAAAAACACAGTCTCGCCACTTTCGCCACAGTTACGTTGCCTTTGGGACCGTATGGTAGCCCAGGAATGAAAATTACCCCCATGATGGCATACCATTTGCAATAGTAGACAACCCAAGGTATTAGAAATGGGGTATGTCCAGTCCTTTTTAGTACGGTCTCAAAGGCAACGTAACCAATCTGGCGAATTTCAATGTGAAAAAACTGAAAAATTTAACATGCTATATTTGACCCTGTAACTTCCCAAAACACCATAAAACCTGTACTGTTTTACTCGTAAGGCATCGCTGAATACAAATATGTGTATTTTATTGCAGTAAAAGGAAACAGTATTATGACATTCATAGTTAAAATGTCACATAGAACTAAACATTTTTTTAAAAATTCTTATTTTCTCCCATTTTTTTAAATTGTATTCATTTTAAATTATGTTTCATACCTAAATATTTGATGTTAACTGAAAGCCCCGATTCCCCTGAATAAAATGATTTATAAGAAGTGTGGGTGCACATAATATGAAAGAGGTGAATTACGCCTGAACAGACATATAGACAAATTCAAGGTTTTGTTTACGTTTTGTTATTATTATTATTATTATTATTATTGCCATTTATATAGCGCCAACAGATTCCGTAGCACTTTACAATATTATGAAAGGGGATTTAACTATAAATAGGATAATTACAAATAAACTTACAGGAACAATAGGTTGAAGAGGACCCTGCTCAATCGAGCTTACATTCTATATGATCACAACGTGTACTTTGCTTCAGTCCTTAAGGGGTTAAACATAATTTGCCAAAAAGGAAGTGTAAATATTAGATGACTCTTTACAGAAAGTGTTTAGGAAGGCTGCACAAGTCACATGCAGGGAGGTGTGCCTAGGGCTGCACTAACAAAGAGATATAACTTCTAAATGAGCAATGAGACTGCAGGGGGAAATAAATACACCAAAACTGCTTCATTAAGCTAATGTTGCTCTGGTGACTCTTAAAGTTTGGTGTATTTTTGTATACAGTGTATTTTGCTGAACCTTATGTTATAGTTTTTGCTGTAAGTAGTATTCCTTTAATGGACATTATTCATTTTGTTCTTGTTTTTATTATTAGAATGGAGAGGCTTCTTTGTTTGAAGTAAACATCCGGTACATAGGAGGATTACTCTCAGCCTACTTCCTTTCAGGAAAAGAGGTAAAAGCTATTATGATGTATAGTAAATATATTGATATCATTATACAAAGCAAACATAAACACACATAGGTATGTGTACATTTATATATTCACATATACAGAGCTCACATTACAATTTGTGGGAGATATAATATCCTCCATTAAGCAAGTCTAAAGCAGCAAGCATTATGCATACATTATCAATGTAGTAGATTAAATAAAGTAATTAAATAAAAAACAGACCATAATTATGTCTGTTTTTGCAGTTCCACTATAATTAGAGTCAGGTGTTAAGCAGTCTTACAACAAAAAAACCCTATGAATAGGCAAGCAAGAGATAGGAACGACACGTGTCTTAATTAATTTCAAACCATTTCAAAAACAGGATGAAAAATGATACACATCTTGTTTTATGTTTGGCAATCGTATAAATATAAACAGCTAAAAATAAAATAGCAGAATCGTGTCTCATCAAAGAAGATGTTCCTTTTTTATTTTTGCAATAGTAAAAAATACATTAAGCAGTGTGAAATAAGAACGTCAGATAATGGTCCGTTGCGATGGCAATAGTCTGCATATATGATATTTATAAAAAGCCTCAAATGTAGGGGAACTGCAATATGAAATACATTTTATGATATTAATTAAAAATGTCATTTTAGACGCAATCCTTCTATACAATAAAAAGTAATGGATTATGA